TGCTCTCTGTATGAACCCTAAACCCTGAACCCTGAACCCTAAACCCGAAACCTTAAACCCTAAGCACATCCGCCTGGCCGGTGGCGCTGGGGTTGTGGGCCCTCGTCCCAGAAGCTGGGCCCTGGGAAGCCCCAGACCGATCCCCAGCGACACCTGGAAGAAGTTGGGGTTTAGGGTTGAGGGTTTAGGGTTTCGGGTTTAGGGCTTTAGGGTTTAGGGCTTTAGGGTTTAGGGTTTCGGGTTTCGGGCGGTCCTTTTTCCTAAACCTTCCGTTCGGGTTGCGCAAGGGTCTTGGGGGCTTCCCTGGCATGTTGGAGGCCCATGGCGCCTCGATAGTCCGATGCAGAGTGCCGCAGAACAACAACTCGACCCAGGAGTAGCCTAGACAAAAAAAGGTGCCCTTCTTGGCTTAAAGGGGCTTGTAAGGGAAGCCAGGGTCCCATGTTAGAGCCGTCACGCCAGTGTGAGACTGCAACTTGCTGCCCAATAGAAGGGAAGCCAAACCCTTTTAAAAAAGGGGAATGAGGGCCTACTCTGGGTCTAGACCACGCTGAACGCCAAACGGCTGTAAGCCTCCAGGGCTTAGGGTTCACGGTGCCGACGCTTATCAAACATACCCGAAACCCTAGACCCCAAACCCTAAACCCTAAACCTAGGGCTGCACGGCTAAGGAGTCGGATGATTGAAGAATGTGGCCGGAAGCACCCCAAGGCGCGGGTGAATAGACTTGGGGCTGCTCCGCGGGGAAGCAGGATCTGTGTTGGAGGTGCAGGAGGTCATACTCAGGGCGTTTCCCGCTGAGCGCTGGAGTCGTACGCGGCATCCCGCATGCTGCATCACCAAGCTCAGCCCTTTGGGGTCTAGGGTTTAGGATTTAGCGTTTAGGGCTAGGGTTTAGAGCTAGGGTTTAGGGTTTCGGGTTTAACCCCTCATGGTTCAGGGTCGCTTGCGGCCTTCAGCGTCGCAGCTGCGTCGTCCAGCCCTGTGGGCAGCGTCAGGGGCTGCCGCTCACGGGGCGGTGCCTGCTGGCGTTCGCTCCTCTCCGCGGCAGCGGGCACTTCCACGCCTGAATCCAGGGGCATAGGGTTTAGGGTTTAGGGTTTAGGGCTTAGAGTTTAGAGTTCAGGGTTTAGGGTTTAGGGTATATAGGGTTTAGGGTTTAGGGTTTAGGGTTTAGGGTTTAGGGTTTAGGGTTTAGGGTTTAGGGTTTAGGGTTTAGGGTTTAGGGTTTAGGGTTTAGGGTTTAGGGTTTAGGGTTTAGCCTTCGGGGGGACGCGGTGCTCTCTGGATCTTGCTAATATAGGGGCCTTAATGATTAGAAGAGGGTTTTCGGGGTTATTATGGTTCTAATATTACAAAGGGACCATAAGGGAACAACAGTAGCAATTATCCCGACCCCTATATTACACGCGCTTGTGCAGTTATGTTGCCGGGTACATGTACACATCTGAACTAGCTTGGCGCTCGAAGCCATCGTGGTTGAGCCCTTGCACTAGTAAGTCAACATCACTCTCGCAAAAACAAGCCTCTCGAAATAACCCTAACGAACGTTTAAACACACACCAAACACAAGGAATAACAAACGCCGGGCGTGACCTCTCGGGTGGTAACCTTTCAGGGAATAGGGCCTTAGGGTTGACCCTAAAGAAACCCTATTCCCCAAAAAAGTGAACACCCGAAAGGTCAGGGTTCCCTGACAAAGCCCGCACCCCAAACGCAAAGGAAGTCCAAAGCGCCCCAAGATCCCCAAACCCCAGATGCTTAAAATTCTGGGTTTAGGGTTTAGGGTTTGGGTTTAGGGTTTAGGGTTTAGGGGTTAGGGGTTAGGGTTTAGGGCTTAGGGTTCCCTGCAACACACCCCTGCAGTCCCCCTGACTACACCCCTAAGCACCCTGTAAGCCCTTATAACGTAAACCCGTAACTTAACATCATGTGGCCCCTAACCCAACGAAGCCAACGAAACCCGAAGCTCTAAAGAAACCGTGGTGACTTGGAGCCATTCCTGCGAGAGAAGCTTCCCTCGGGCCGAGGGCTTTGACGACGTATAAACCCTTAAGGGATGTTCCCCCTTTTTCTAGCAGCCCGTAGTAGATATTTCTAGTACCCCCTACTATAATCCCTATTAAGGACTCTTAGTATAGGGGGGAACATGGCAAGATAAACACAAAAACCCTAAACCGACTTAGCAATTAATATTCGCTGAGGATCCCAATGCAGCGCTATCAGCTCCACAGGCCTACTATGGGGGGGTCGGAATACTTCGGAATAGTATCCCCTTTCGAGCCCCAATCTATCTACCCATGTACATCTATAATTTCAATACACTCGGATATGTACCCAACCCTATGTGCGCCATGATGGCCCTACATTCTTCTGAAAGCTTGAGGGGCTTAGAGGCTTAGGGATTTCAACTCCAAGAGGCCGAGAATTACACTAGTGGGGTTGGTTGAAAAGGGTTGTGGGGGCAGGGTTTAGGGTTTCGGGTTTGGGGTTTACAAATTATTTATGTAAGGCCCCTATATTATGGTCGCATCCAGTGATCCCGGGAGGTGGGGCGTATTTGTCCTTTGTCAGCCTCTGGTTTTGACCCATGTCTTTCCATGGGCTGCAAACGACACAGGATTTGGTTGCATCGCCCCAACCCCTGCTTTCGCACTGCGCGGAAAAGCTCCTCCGTAAACCCTAAACCCTATAAGACCTAAACCCTAAGACCTAAGCCCTAAGCCCTAAACCCCAAACCCTAAACCCCTACATGTAAATGTGAACCCAAAGGGCTTTCCCCGTCTCAGTCAGCTGCTTGGCATAGGCAGACTTCGGTGCGCCGCAGAGCGGGCACCGCCACGAGTCGGGTAGGTCTTCAAAGGCCGAGCCATTGCCATCCTTCACCGGGTCGTAGACATGGGAGCAGCGTGCGCAGAAGTAGGTCCCAGCTCCTTCAAAGCAAGAAGCTTCGCACTCACTTTTGGACGAGGCACCCACTGTCCCAGCTGGCATAGTCATGCACTGCTTCATTGGGACTGGACTCCCCGTGCCGTTGATTTCTGCTGCTTGCGTAACTGTGCAGAAGTACCCAAGCTCCCCAGGAGGAAGCGTGCTTTTGGCCCTTGAGTTTAGCACCGCAGCATTGAGGGTAAGATTACCCATGGAAGTGGCAGCAGCCACCCGAAGCGCCACTGCCTCACTGCTGTCCTTTGGTGCCGTCCAGAACAAGTCCACAGGAGCATTTGTCTCACTGACAAAAGAAGCGCGAGTTCCATCACACTTGAGCTGCCACTTGCCGACAGCACCTGGCAACATGGAGAAGCGTCCGACGCCCGAATCTAAGAGAAACCACGTGGATGCAGACGTACTGTCACCGTCCGGTACAACAGTGAGCCGATGCTTCACACCCTGCGTGTAGCTGGATGCTGGCTTACCTTCGTAGTTGCTGAGTTCATAAGCCCAAAAAAAGTTTACACTTTCAGTTCTATAGGGGATTATAGGTATCCCAAAAAGTGTAAAGTGTACTCATTCAGCTACCAAACCTTCGAGCAGCAGCTTCGTGCGACCTGGCTGGGCGGCCAGTGCATCTGGCAGCGAGTAGTGTGAAGGAATCTGCGGTGCTCCGGCCCCGAGGCAGACATCCTGCGTGCCCATGCAGCGCTCCTTGCACGTGCATTTGCTTAGGCTGCAACTCTGCGCACCTTGGCGGAAGGTGCAGTGGCCCATGCACCACTCGAAGCTTGTGGGTGGGTGAGGCTCACACAGCAAGGCGAGGGGTGGGTGGTTTCGCCAGCCCACTTTTTGGACAGAAGCCGGCCCCCGCGGCTGCGGCTCGCCCAAGTCTGGAAACACACTGCAGTCCGTGTACAAGGATGGCCAACCAGCAGACAAGCCCAGTGAATATGCCAGGGCCAGCAAAACCCTCGCACTCATGGCGGACTACGCGTACTGATTGTGTCGGATGTTGAGCCAACTGCCAGCAAGAGGTGTCCATGCTCACGACAATAATGAGGAGCCCTTTCTTTTCGAAAAGTTCCGGAAACAGGAGCACAGAGCAATCGTTGGGCTCCATAGTTAGCGCTGCAGCGCTGGAACTGCTAAAACCCTAAACCCCCTAAACCCTAAACCCCCTAAACCCTAAACCCCCTAAACCCTAAACCCTAAACCCTAAACCCTAAACCCTAAACCCTAAACCCTAAACCCTAAACCCTAAACCCTAAACCCTAAACCCTAAACCCTAAACCCTAACCCTAAACCCCACTCCCTAAACCCTAAACCCCAAACCCTATAAAGCGAGTTTCGGGACTTCTGCGGCCAACCCAGGCGCCTGGGCCCGAGGCCACCGAGGCCGCGGAGGCCGCGGAGGAGCGCCGCCGCGCCGAGCGCCCGGCGCGCTCCGGGAGCCGAAGACCTGGGCTTGGTAGGGTTTAGGGTTTAGGGTTTAGGGTTTAGGGCTTAGGGCTTAGGGGCTTAGGGCTAAGGGTTTAGGGCTTTCAGGGCTCAGGGCTCAGGGCTCAGGGCTCAGGGCTCAGGGCTCAGGGCTCAGGGCTCAGGGCTCAGGGCTCAGGGCTTAGGGCTTGGTTGGCGCTTCACCTCCATTTTGTGGTTTCCGTATTTTGGTTTGGGGTTTAGGGCTCTAGGGGTCTTAGGGTTTGGACTTTTGCTTTTGCTGGGTTTAGGGTTTAGGGTTTAGGGTTTAGGGTTTAGGGTTTAGGGTTTAGGGTTTAGGGTTTAGGGTTTAGGGTTTAGGGTTTCGGGCTTAAGAGGGGGGGAAGGGGGTTAGGGAAAGACAGAATCCTTGGAGCGCATCTCACCTCGAACATTTACAAGAGTGTCATTCGATGTGGGCTCCGATCGCCAGGCTATGTGGTTCGTACCTTCATGTCTCTGCGTGCTCCGGTTCATGTCTGCAACTGTCGCTAGTCATGGGGAGGACTCCGAAAAAACATAGGGTTTAGGATTTAGGGTTTAGGGTTCAGGGCTTAGGGTTTAGGGTTCCTTGTAGGTCTGTCCAAGAGTCAACCCCTCCCTGCCCCGGGTTCGGCCAAGATGCTGCCGCGTCGGGAGGAGCTGGGGCTCCCAAGATTCTCCGTCGCGGGAGCTGGGGGAGGCCCGAGAGGCTCGGAACCCGACTTCCGGGGCTCGGAAGCCGACCCTGTGAACTTCGGGCCGTCCGGCGGTTCTGGGTCCGACTTGGGAGGCTCCAGGTCTGGTTGGGGAAGTTCTGGGCCCGACTTTGGTGCTTGCTGCTGAGAGCGGGGCTCGGGATCTTCTTTCGCTTGGGGCTTCGAAAGCTCCGAGTCCGAAGGCGGAGGATCAGGATCCTTGCTCGCGCCGGGCAGCGGGGAGGACAGGAGGAAGGGGTCCACTGGTGCGGGCAAAGCTTCTGGTAGCACGTCCTCCTGTTGGGTGGGAGGTCCGGGTTCCTGTCCCTGTGAAAACCTGCGTTGCTTCACGCTGCCCCTGCGCAGCTTCACAGGGCTCGCCGTTCTCGCCTCCTGCACCGACTCACTCTTTTCTTGCGCCTCAGGAGCTTCGGCCGACGCTGGCTTCGAGGTGGGCGCGGCGTCTTCCTTGGGCTTTGCCGTGGAAGCCTTGGATGCGATTTTGGGACCGTGTCCAAGCATAGCATCGCCCTACATTCAACCCACCTGGCGGACTGTAAGTACTACATGTTGCATAGGTTTATATGCAACTTTGGACCGCCCACTTCCATCCTCTTTCGGTTTGTGAGGCACGGGTTAGAGGTGATAGGTTAGTGAGAATCTATTTCAGGGGCCCACTTCTGCCCCGAAACAACAAGCTCTGAACAGGAAACCCGAGACGCCTTGGGACGGGCGAGGCGCAGCGCCCGCACCTTCTGCGACCCCTGGCGAGGTGGGCGCAACTCCGTCGAGTTTACGGGGTGCGAGCCTCTTGGGGTTCGTTTGTTCAGCAAGCGGCTGGCTGGCCAGGTTGTACGGTGTGAAGTAGGCTTTATCAAAGGGCCTTGGAATATAATTGGGCTTATATAGTAGGGCTGATAGGGGGTCTCCGCAAACCTCGAAAAACCGCCGGGCTTGGCTTCGGGCTCTTGGGGAGTTATTTCGGGACATTTAGGGCGCCACCTCTGCCTGCGCGGCCGGGGGGGCAGAGGCTCTGGCCGTTCTGGCCAAGCCTCCCAGGCAGCCGCCAGAGACACCAAGTTAGGTGTGCTTTGCTGTTGCCGCACTTTTTACTTTTTGTCGGGCTTTTTTGCCACCCACCTAGCCAACCCATGCGTATCACTCTACAGGAAGGAATGGGGGTTTGGGTTCAGGGCCACCGGTGAGGCCGAGACCATGTCCTTCACCCTCAAAACCCCGTAGGAATTCTGCGATCCGCCTGCTTGTGATCATAACTGTTGCCCTACCTACGGCCATCTGACCCTGACCCTAAACCCTAAACCCTAAACCCTTTTTTGCTTCAGGGAAACCCTAAACCCTAAACCCTAAACCCTAAACCGGTTGGCAGCCTTGGAGGCCCTTCTGGCGCAAAGTCTGCCGCCGCGTTGGATCCGTGCTAAGATCGCTGATCCTTGGCCGTTAAAGCCTTTTTGAAAAATATTCTCAGGGTTTAGGGTTTAGGGTTTAAGGTTTAGGGTTTAGGGATAACAGAAAGTATTTCAAGGGCCTACCTAGTTGTTTCTGCCTCCTGCACAAGGTTTCAATCCAGAGCATCAGCTAAGCTGTGTGGCGCCGTTTGCAGGCTTAGGCGTTTACGGCTTCGAGCTTGAAGTGGAGATAGCTCGGCCGGGAGAGCACAGCTGTCGGCAGACCTCTTGCTATGTAAGGCGGTTCTACGGTTTCAGGCTCTGGGACTGCTGACCAGGAGCACTTGCATCAGCTTCTGCGACTGGGAGTGCAGCACTGATCGGATCACGCGCGGGAGGATGTACCTCGGATCTTCGTGACCTCAAACCTTTTGAAGCGAAGCCCTAAACTCCTTTTGGCCCTAAACCCTAAACCCTAAACCCTAAACCCTAAACCCTAAACCCTAAACCCTAAACCCTAAACCCTAAACCCTAAACCCTAAACCCTAAACCCTAAACCCTAAACCCTAAACCCTGCCCTGAACCCAAAGTTGGCTCCAGGTTGCTGGATCAGCCCCGAGCTGAAGCGAACTCGGGCCATCGCCACCATCTCAGGCATCGAAATTGAGGGTTTAGGGTTTAGGGTTTAGGGTTTAGGGTTTAGGGTTTAGGGTTTAGGGCTTCGGCAGCGCTACCTCTGAAGAGGTGCAATCCGAGCGCAGGGTTTAGGGTTTAGGGCTTGGATTCTTGGGCTTTTTGGAGGGGTGTAGGGTTTCGGGGCTTAGGGCTTTATAGGGTTTACGCAGGGCTTTTGTTGCCAAAACCTCTGAACACTCAGGGCTTAGGGCTTCGGATTGAGGATTCAGAGATTCTAGTTGTTTTTGAGTGTTTTTGCGGTTATTTTTGCCACCCGCACTGCCCCGCAAAAGGTTTAGGCATTGACGTTTAGTAGGGGAGCCGAGGTATGGACCCTAAATTTGGGTTCCCTTGTTATTTCACCCATATGTACCCTATATATAATAAGGGCAGCATACTTCGAATCCCTATAAACAAGGGTAGGGGGCCCATGGCTCCAACCTGAGATCTCAGGTCCTTAAGGGAGGGAGGTTCATGGGGGGTAGGCAGGCAGTCTTAGGGGTAGTATGGGGCCTCAATCATACCCCCCTTGAACCTTAGGAAGCTTTGCCTTCGTCTGCCGCTCGGGGTCTCTTGCGTGGCGGACCTTTCGGCTGGTGGAGCATGGACAGTCAGAGCGCTGGGAGGTTTTGGCGGTTTGGGGATTTTAGAGGGTTTTTGGTCTTAGGGGGGGGGGGGGGGTGCAAAACAGGCACCAATTGAGCCGTTTGGGATGGGATCTGTGGCGCGCGCGCGCGCGGGGTTCACATGGGGGCCCTGTAAGGTTCGGCGGCTTAAACAGCAACTGCCCACCCTGAAGCACAGCTCATGGCGGTGCCGGAAGTGCTCAGAGAAAGGGCGAAAGTCTGCCACCCCATGCCACGCCCGAAACGCCGGCAACCCCTGCAACTCTCAAAGCAATGTTTACAAGCCCGAAGTGTCGGCTTCCCCCTAGAGGCTCAAGAAAACCAGAACTCTCATGCGTGGATCCTCTCGCGCAGCTCCACAGATGGGGGACAGTGAATGGATGTGGGTGTTGGGCCCCCTACAGAGAATCCCCTGAAAAAAGGGGACCGGAATTGGGGGAACCTACCCTACATGCACGTGCCCAACGCTCCTCTGGACCCCAAGCCCTGAAGCTTGCGGCTGGTGCACCAGCCCCAGGGCAAAAGCAACCGCCTTGTAGCAACCTCACGGATGGGGCGTCTTAGTTCAGGGTTTAGGGCTTTAGGGTTTGGGGTTTAGGGTTTAAGGGTTTTAAGGTTTAGGGTTTAGGGAGCCTGAATAGTTACCAAAAAGTCATCCCTGACCGTCCCTGACTTTATTACAATAAGCTACCATTACCCACAGCTCTTCTAATTCAACAGGCCCCCATGTTCAGTTTATCGGGCCATGCTCACACACATACTTAAGTATGTACATGTATACACACACACACACACACATCAGAACATATACATATGTCGTGATCAGCATATGCTGATCCAGAAACCCTGCCAAGCAGTTAGATGAAAATGTTGGGGAAGCCCCTGGAACCCTAAACCCTAAACCCTAAACCCTAAACCCTTTTTGCTTGCATTCTTGCCCCGCGGGACTCATGCACTATGTTGGCCTAGCAGCTTGGGACATCGCACTGCGCGGGCCCAGGGGGCATCAGCAGATATCCGAAAAACCACTCTCGTTCCCTTCTGAGAGTCACAAATCACAAAAGCCACCAGAATCTCTAGAACTCAGGGCTGAGGGTTTGGGTTTAGGGTTTAGGGTTTAGGGTTTAGGGTTCAGGGTTCAGGGTTCAGGGTTTAGGGTTTAGGGTTTAGGATTTAGGGTTTAGGGTTCAGGGTTTAGGGTTTAGGGTTCAGAGTTCAGGGTTCAGGGTTTAGGGTTTAGGGTTTAGGGTTTAGGGTTTAGGGTTTAGGGTTTAGGGTTTAGGGCTCCTCAGCCCCCCCTCAAACGGCTGCCAAAGAAGGCCTTCATGTGCTGGGAGTCCCTCCCCAGCCGCAGAAGCTGGGCGCCAGAGCACCACGTGGCTCCAGTGGCCCAGTCCAGGTCTGAACTCCTCAAGGGTGCTTTTCTACAACTTCTCTCAAGTTGTAAGGCAAATTAAAAAAAAAAAAAAAAAAAAAAAAAAAACAAGTGCTTTTTGCACTAGGGAGTTTTCGGGACTTGGGGGGTTGAAGGACTTTATCTCGGGCTTGAGGTCCTTGGGGCCCTTTACCTTCATGCCCTAACGATCTTTTTGGGTCTCCTGTGGCCCAGCAACCTTCTTCTCCAAAACAAAGTGCAAGACTCCTGCGCCACCTCGAGGCCCTCAACCCTGAGTCACGGAAGGCCTTTTTGCATCCGGACCCTAAACCCTAAACCCTAAACCCTAAACCCTAAACCCTAAACCCTGTGGCACGGAAGGCCTGAATCCTCAACGCTTGGACCCGTGAACCCTGAGTCCCTAAACCATGCAATACGGGCGGTTCCGATACTCGGGAGACCCTTTTTGGGGTGTTCCTATAAGAAGGATATAGGTTTTGGGGGGTATATTAGGGGGTACCCCTATTTACATATATGTATATATATATATATGTATATGTATGTATGTGTATATATATATGTTATATATAATATATACTTTTTGGCAAATGCCCATACAGAAACCCTAAGGCCCTAAGCTTCAGGGCTCGTTTAGAGGGCGAGTCGGCCTTGCACTCTTGGCGGCTGCGGTCGAAAGCCTGTCGGCTACAAGAATCGCCGCCCGCGTCTCTACGGATCCCTCTCACTCTCTGTCTCTCTGTCTCTCTCTCTCTCTCTCTCTGCTCTCTTCTTCAAGCTGGCTGCTTATATAACAAAAGCCACAGAATGTCGGTGCATGTCGAGAAGGAAGAGGTTTGGTCGGTTGTGCTTTCGCGTGACATAGGCTGCTTCGCATGTCTCAAGGCTGTCGGCAAGGCTGTCTTGGGCCTGCTGGGCATCCCACTGCAAGAAGTCGTGCGCGGCCAGGCCCATCATCGCCTCGAACTTGAAGGACCTTTGCAAACACGGGCGGCCAACAGGGTTTTTTAGGGTTGTTTGAGGGTTTTTAATAGGGTTTAGGGTTTAGGGTTTAGGGGTTTAGGGGTTTAGGGGTTTAGGGGTTTAGGGGTTTAGGGGTTTAGGGGTTTAGGGGTTTAGGGGTTTAGGGGTTTAGGGGTTTAGGGGTTTAGGGGTTTAGGGGTTCAGGGTTTAGGGATTTGGCAAGCCCCGACTCGAAAAAATTGCCCTTGCGTCCGGATGGGAAAACCGGCGCCCATGGCGGGTCCGCAACCTAGAGTCCCAGATCGACGATCCAACTAAAAAGGCGCCTAAATAATTAGAACAGGGTTTTGGGGCAATTATAGAATATTTATATAGGGACAATAAGGGAATACCATTAGAATAATTCTCGGGACATCTGAGGAACCTAGGGCTGTTTCGTTTCCACATCGCACATGCAAACCCTTTTTGAACCTCCAACCCTACCAAAATCCTACAAACCCTGAACTGAACCTTTGCTTGCAACTTGTTTTGAACACGGTACTGAGCTCCCAGCCGGCCTCGGGCAACCACAGAAGCATCGGTAGCTTCAGGAACACTAAACCCCAAGCCCCTTTTGGCCCCAAACCCTGTAAACCCCACACCCTAAAACCTATAAACCCTACGAACCCTATAAACCCTAAAGTCTAACCCCTAAACCCTAAACCCTAAACCCTAAACCTGCAGCCCCAAAGGCACGAAGCTCAAGCCGTTCGCCTCGTGCTTTCGCAGCGTTGGGCCGATGACGTCATCCTCGGAACTCTTTCTCCCTTCACGGGGGGGTTTAGGGTTTAGGGTTTAGGGTTGAGGGTTGAGGGTTGAGGGTTGAGGGTTGAAGGGTTCAGGTTCAGGGTTCAGGGTTCAGGGTTCAGGGTTCAGGGTTTGGGGTTTGGGGTTTGGGGTTTGGGGTTAGGTAGTACGAGAATCTAAGAAGGTAAGAACATTGGCGGGGGGGGGGGGTGGTTTTGCCACCCGCCTAGCTGTTTCCGAAGAGCATAGAATATCGGCAGAAGGGGCTGTTGCTTTGCCACCCACCTGTTTCCGCACAGAGGGTTTCGGGATGTTAACTTTACCACGATACGATAACACACTGTAGTGGGGGAATGTCTCATATTCAGCTATTTGCCAGGGACTGGTGTGTACAGAGGTTACAATGGTTTCTCAGGTTATGGCAGGGTCAGTGTGTACGATCTGCGGAAGAGGGGTCAGGATTCGATGTGTTTACTATAGGGCTAGGTGTTTAGCAGTAGTATGGTCCTTAATCTTGAATGGCCCTCAAAACCCTCTGAAAGAAATCTTGAATATGATCCTCTTCAACCCAACAAGGGAAAATATAAAATGTCCCAAGGGCCTACCTAGTAATGAAAAATACATACCCTAAACCCTAAACCCTAAACCCTAAACCCTAAACGGGAAAGATCAGGCCCAAGAAGCCCACTGCGCCCGCTCCGTGGGGTCGTTCACCAGGGCATAGACCGTTTCCAGCGGCGCGTCCAAGAGCACCTTTCTGGATTTTGCTTCATGGCTCATGCACGGGCTTGCCCGAAACCCTAAACCCTAAACCCTAAACCCTAAACCCTAAACCCTAAACCCTAAACCCTAAACCCAGGTGTAAGGGAACCTAGATTACAGCCGGTCGAAGCCTGAACTCAGGTTACATCTTCCCATGCTTATATACATATAAATATATGTATATATGTATATATGTATATATGTATATATGTATATATGTATATATGTATATATGTATATATGTATATATGTATATATGTATATATGTATATATGTATATATGTATATATATATATGTATATATATATATATATGTATATATATGTATATATACTTAAAAGCCTCAGAGCTTGAGGCTTTAGCTTTGCCTAGGGGTTTAGGGTTTAGGGTTTTAGGATTTTAGGATTTTAGGATTTTAGGATTTTAGGATTTTAGGGTTTTAGGGTTTTAGCTAGGGTGTTAGGTGGTCTCGGGTTTTTGGGTTTAGCGCTTTGGGGTCTTATAGGGTCTTTTTGGATCTTTTAGGGTCTTAGAGGGTCTTATAGGGTCGAATAAGGTCTTCTAGGGCCTTATGGGGTCTTATGGGGTCTTGTAGGGTCTTATAGGGTCTTGTAGGGTCTTATAGGGTCTAATAGGGTCTGAGAGGGTCTTATAAGGTCTTATAGGGTCTTATAGGGTCTTATAGGGTCTTATAGGGTCTTATAGGGTCTTATATTGTCTTATAGGGTCTTATATTGTCTTATAGGGTCTTATAGGGTCTTATAGGGTCTTATAGGGTCTTACAGGGTCTTATAGGGTCTTATAGGGTCTTAGGGTTTAGGGTGGCGTTTCTGCTTGCTGCTAGATTGGAGCCTCGCATCTGCCTCTCTCGACGATGTCCGTCTGGCCATCCGGGCGCTCGACCTCTTCCTGGGGGAACCCTAAACCCTAAACCCTAAACCCTAAACCCTAAACCCTAAACCCTAAACCGGAGGAGGGAGGGGGGGGGGGGGGGTGGTCAAGCTAGGTGTCGAGCTCAAGGCCTTCTAGTCTACAGGGTTTTGGGGGCTTCGGCTCTCACATTCGCGCAAGGCAGGCGACAACACACACTCATACCATACGAGATCTTTGCTCAATTATCTCGAAGAGTCTCCAGCCCCCACTGATGTAGAGGGCTTGGGGTTTAGGGTTTGGTTCCTAAAATGAAAATCATATTGGTTTGGGGGAGCAGTTTGCTTCTTCAGCTCAAGGGGGGTGGGTACCTAGGGAACTTTCAGGGAGGCTTCGGGAGCCTTCAAAAGTAGTGGAGGTATTCGGGAACCTTGGGTTCCATAGCTACTATGATCATATGAACTTGTAAAGAAACGTCCGAAGTCCAAGCGTCAGACTTGCGGTGGGCCAAGAGGCCTTCGGCGATGTCGTCGAGGTCCCAACTCCTTCAGGGTTTAGGGTTTAGGGTTCAGGGTTTAAGGTTTAGGGTTTAGGGTTTAGGGTTTAGGGTTTAGGGTTTAGGGTTTAGGGTTTAGGGTTTAGGGTACAGTCTGTGGGTTTTGGGTGGGTCTGCGGTTGGATCTGTAGGGCTTGAGGTGCTATGAGGATGTTCCCCGCATAGAGTTTAGAGGGCGAAGTGCGCAACACGCAGATCTCTTCGAAAGTGGTACCGCTAAGGACATGCAAAAACCATCTTAGGGTTTAGGGTTCACGGTTTAGGGTTTAGGGTTTAGGGTTTAGGGCTACCAGGGGTTCGGGGCAGGCGCGATTGATACCCAAGTAGTTGATCCTTTTCGTCCGGTAGGTATCATTCCATGCAAGGTTCAGCATGCAGCGGCTTCGGAACCCTCTGTTGGTCGATCGCACGCCCAATATGGCCCAGGGTGCGTGTATCGCAGTTCATCTATTTCGATTGCCGAACAAGTGCTTCCCCCTCCAGTCAGTAAGGCAAGGCATCTCGTGAAAGCGAAGGCTCAGACACACAAGCCCCTGCCTGAAGTCATTCCGCTGCACCCTGAACGCTATAGACACTAAAAACCTTAAACCTTGAACCCTGAACCCTAAAGCCTCAACAGGCCCGTGAGCCGGCCTTGGGGGGGTCAGCGTCCAGGCTAGGATGTCTCGCAGCTCTTCTTGGTCTGGAGGCTTCCTTGACTGCACTTCTCAGAGGTTCAGAGGTTTCGGGTTTAGGGTTTAGGGTTTAGGGTTTAGGGTTTAGGGTTTAGGGTTTAGGGTTTAGGGTTTAGGAGGCACTTAGAACCCAGTTTTTTAACAGCACTGATAAGCCAGCTCTAACCCAAATCCCAGCAGATTTGCAGGCTTTGGGCCTTGTAGCTAAGTCAAAACTTCAGCTACGAATACTTGTCACGCATGTCTAGGGGGACGCCGGGCCCCGTACCCTCAACCCTACGCCGGGCTGGGCCGCGACAGAAAAAATCGTACGAAAAGGAACCCTCTTAAAACCTCCCAAAGGGAAGCTCATGAACCATCCCCGAAAGGGGCCTACCCAGTCTTCCTAGGAACTTGTTCGAGATCCTGATCCCGGGATCTGGAGAGACCGATTCACTACCTAAGCCCTGTTGACATGGACTGAGCTCCACCTTAAATGACCTTAATTAGGCCTAATGATCCTTAGATAGCCTTAATTATGGGGAACCCTGCAGAAGTAGTGATTGTTTGAATTCAGGCCTCCTCTCCCTTGAACTCTACCAAGGCCCTTTTCCAACCAGGCCTCTGCAAACCCAAGCTCCAAACCCTAGACCTTATAAACCTTTGGGCTTAAAACCCTAAACCTTAAAACCCCAAACACCAAACCCCCCTAAACCCTAAACCCTAAACCCTAAACCCTAAACCCTAAACCTGAAACTTTTTGCCTCGAGATGGGGCCCAAGGGGCGCGTGGTCCCGGAAGGGGAGGAGGTTTGGCAAGGAGGCCGGCCCATCCACGAAATCCATGCTGGGGTTTCGGGTTTAGGGTTTAGGGTTTAGGGTTTAGGGATTAGGGTTTAGGGTTTGGGGTTTGGGGTTTGGGGTTTAGGGTTTAGGGGCTTCAGGGTTTAGGGTTTCGGGGCTTCAGGGTTTAGGGGCTTCAGGGTTTCAGGGTGGCCTTAGGGGCTGCGACGATCACACCCGCATAAGGCAGACAGCCTTAAGGTCGAAAGGCTCGGAGCGGGGTTGAGGGGCTCAGGGGGTTTTGGAGTTTTCTGCAGCACCATCTCCGAAGAGCGAATATCTTGTTTTGGAGTTTTGGAGCTTTGGGTTTTTGGAGCTTTGGAGCTTTGGGGCTTTGGGGCTTTGGGGCTTTGGGGCTTTGGAGTTTTTCGGTTTTGTTTTGTTTTTGTTTGGGGGGGGGGGGGGGGGGGGCGGGAGTTCCGAGGTTGACGGCCTCGGGTTTGGGGGGAATACCGGCCGCAAGAAAAGAAGGCGGCTCTGGGGGCCTCGAGCCGGCGTAGCCTGCGCAAGTTCGGGGCCCTCATGACTTTAAGCACCTCAAGGGGGTAAGGGTTTAGGGTTCAGGGTTTAAGGTTCAGGGTTTGTTTTTGAGGGTTTAGGGTAACTTGAACTCGATCATTCGTGCTCATGCCCTGCCGCTGTGCGTTACGAATACCGAACAAAAGTGCAAATGTGTGCACCCACCTCGTCCAACTCCACCCAATGTACGTCTGTTTAGGGTTTAGGTTTAGCGTCCAGGGCACTTTCTGCCAATTCAAGCCAGAACCCTGAACCCCTAAACAGGGCAAAATTCCTGGGCTTCAGTTGCTCATCACAGGGACCTTCTTTGGCCATATGTCTTACAACCCAGGAACCCTAACAAAAACCAACGCCTAGGAACACTACAAACCACTAAGGACCTAGGAACTCCACCCGGTTGCCCGGAAAGAAACCCAACAACCCTTTGTTCGCCTAGGAGCCCCAAGAACCTCTGCGGGGATGGCCCCTAAAACCCCTCTGAAAGCAAATGCCAGCCTCTTAAAACCCAATAAGAGAAAAGACATCTAATCATCTAGTAAACCCTAAACCCTAAACCCTAAGCCCAAGCCCACACAACGTTTTCTTCCTGCGGACGCGGTCAGGCCAGCGCCGAGCTTTGCGGTCGCTGACGTCCTCGTGGGCTTCCAGGGGAAGCCCCGCGATGGGCCTGGCCCCATGCGTCGCAATTTGGGACTGAAGGGTTTCGACTCTCCCACTCGCACAAGGGGCAAGGCATCGGTTGGATCCATAAGTCTGCTAGGATAGTGACTGAGGGGTTTAGGGTTTAGGGTTTGAGGGTTTGATAGGGTTTGAGGGTTTTTTTGGGGGGGGGGCAAGTCGAAACAAGGGAGCCTCCTTGAGAGCTGCTGAGAGAGGGCCTGGCGTGCTCAACGCAGCTGGCCTTGGGGCCGAGGACAGCGTTTTAGGGATCAGGGGTTTGGGCTTAGGGTTTAGGGTTAGGGCTTGCCTATGAACATACCTTGTTGCAAGGTGACATCTGAGAAGATGCCTTGGAAAAGACGTGAGATTTCGAGCTTTTGAGGGAAAGTTGTTTAGGGTTTAGGTTTTTGGGTTTAGGGTTTAGGGTTTAGGGTTGGGATGTTCCCCCTTATACTAGCAGTCCTTAATGGGGATTGTAGTACCTCCTATTTGAATTCCTAGATCAAGGCTTTGGGATGTCTTGGGGGGGTGTTGAGGCTTTATTAGGGTACAGAGACAGAGACATGCAGAGCGTAGGGCTTAGGGCTTTCAGATGCACGATCGTATCAGCTGCCATCTGGGCGTTCTGACCATACAGCCTCGCTAGAAAACGCCCTGTGCAGTCCGAAGTGCAGTAGCGCATCCCCAAACCCTAAACCCTAAACACTAAACCCTAAACCCTAAGCCCTAAACCCTAAACCCCAAACCCCATCCTAAGCAGCCCAAACGATTAAGAAAGCCTTAGCAGCTGCTTCGCGAGTGCATCCCAGGGGCAACCACCCCGTTTACCCGGCCGCACCTGTCATGGGCACGCATGTGCATGGCCGACGAACAACCAAAGGCTGTGACAACTTGTCCGAGACATGTCTGATAGCACTAATGACCGCGAGCAGGGAGCCCTCATGCAATTAGGGTTTAGGGTTTAGGGTTTAGGGTTTAGGGTTCAGGGTTCAGGGTTCAGGGTTCAGGGTTCAGGGTTCAGGGTTCAGGGTTCAGGGTTCAGGGTTCAGGGTTCAGGGTTTAGGGTTTAGGGTTTAGGGTTTAGGGTTTAGGGTTTAGGGTTGATCCCTCCTGAGGCACTTTGCGCTCTGGCCATCCTCTCTCGGCGTCCGCCCTGCCACTGCAGGGAAGTTTGGGGGGGTTGCAACACATGACTGCGGGGAAGGCTAGAAGATCTTGGGTCACCATGCGTGTTCTCCTCATTTTGCTTCAGACCATGGGTCCTTACAAGCCATGGGGTTACAGAGCCGCAAGGCCAGGAAACGTTCACCCTGCCACCGAGGAAATCTAATTCTCAGCACAGCTGCACACACACCCATCCCTGTAAGCGCCAAGAAGGTTTGCACGCACAGAGAACCAAAAGCACCCTAAACCCGAAGCTCATGATGCTGCTGTTTGGGCACGTGCCTCTGGGCGTCTCGCGGTGCGAAGCGTTGAGAATAGGGGCTGGGCGTCCAGCAGACCTAGGGCAAGTTCGTGTACGTATGAGGGATTCCTGGATTCCTTCCAGTTCGTTCTGAAGAGTGACTTGAAGAAAGATAGGCGACCTACAAAGGATATTCGGGAACTCGCGATCCGGAATTCCCTTCCCCAATAAGAGCAACTAGGAACCCCTCTGAAAAATCTCCCTCAACATGATCCTCTACATCCCCTGCGTATTCCCAGTAACCATATTGCACCCTTTTTGGGGTTGGTTATTTTCTAAGGGACCTTGAACCCCAAAAATAGGGAAACGGAGTACCACCTGGGCCACCAAGTCTCACTTTGGCTCACCTTTTTAAGGGTCCATACGCCGCCTTGAAACCCCCCCCCCCCTCCCTTAGGAACCCTACAACCCTACAACCCTAAACCCGAAACCCAAAACCTAAACCCTAAACCCTCAAGCACACCAGCATTGCGAGCGACGCTGGTTGGGAGCTCTGCCGCGACCGCAGCGCCAAGCTCGGCCTCAGCTTGGTTTTCCCTAAACTAAACCCTATAGAATAGCCCTAAGGCCCTAAAACCCTAAACTCTCTGGACTCTCATAGCCCTAAACCCTAAACCCAAAACCCAAAACCCTAAACGCTAGAATAGCCCTAAGGCCCTAAAACCCGAAACTCTCTGAACTCTAATGGCCCTAAGCCCTAAACAGCCCCCCGAGCGAACTGCCACTAACCCTCCTCTGAAGGCAGCAAACAATTGTTTAGGGTTTAGGGTTTAGGGATTAGGGATTAGGGTTTAGGGTTTAGGGTTTAGGGACGTGGGGGCTGTGCGTTAGGGCCATAGTCCCCCTTGCGCTGCCCACATGAAGCCCAGCTGCTGCACATCGGCGTGCACTTGCAGACGAGGGCTCGACGAATTTCCTTAGGGTTTAGGGTTTAGGGTTTAGGGTTTAGGGTTTAGGGTTTAGGGTTTAGGGTTTAGGGTTTAGGGTTTAGGGTTTAGGGTTTAGGGTTTAGGGTTTAGGGTTTAGGGTTTAGGGTTTAGGGTCTACGGTTTAGGGTTTAGGGTCTAGGGTTTAGGGTCTAGGGTTTAGGGTTTCGGGTTTAGGGTCTGGGGTTTAGGGTTTAGGGTTTGGGGTTTAGGGTTTAGGGTGTAAGGTTTTTGCCGCCTGCCTAGCAGCCTATAGGGCTTTGAGGGTTTGGGAAGGCAGGACAAAAAACTATCAACAACATCTACAAACTCTAAAAACTCATAAGCCTTTGAACCCCACCTGAAGCCCCAAACCCTATAAACATCCACGAACCCCAAAATTAACCCTGTGAGCCTCTTGAACCCTACTTGAAATCTCGAGGGGCGCGGGCGCAGACTCGGGGAGCTCTGCTGCCGCCGTGGGGGCGTGCGGTCCCCTCCTGCGCTCATGTCTTGGGGAGCTCAGCGTGCTAATCTTCGGGTCTGGGGTTTGGGGTTTAGGGTTTTTTTCCCTCCTGCGCAGGTTTAGGGTCTATGGCCTTTAGGGTTTAGTGGTTTAGGGGTTTAGGAGGTTGAGAATAGACTTGATGCTTTAGGGTCTTCGGGCTTCAAGATGTGGTTGCACATGGGCTCTTTGGATGTAGGATGTAGGTTTTGTGGCTTTGGAGCCGAGGGGTAGGGTTTAGGGATTGAAGTTGCTTATGCACCCTCATTCCCGGGGGGGGGGGGGGGGGGGGGGGGGGAGGGGGAGCAGGCGCCAAGCTCGCAAGGCACGCTTGGTCGACCCTTAAAAGTGTTCCTATACAGTGGGCTCCAAACGTGCTGCAGTGTACATGGTTACATTCTGCTGCATGGCACACGGGCAACAGCACACACTCACACGTTCTCTGCAGTCGCATCCGCGCCAGAGAAGCATCTAGAGACAACGACCGTCGCCCGCAGCCGCTGTAGCCGTAGCTCACCCTAAACCCTAAACCCTAAACCCTAAACCCTAAACCCTAAACCCTAAACCCTAAACCCTAAACCCTCACGTAATCATACCTCGAGCCTGCAGAAGGCCTCCCGCACAGCTCAGCTACAAGCAGATGCGGGTAGAACTACATAGGGCAATACATGACCTCTGCCGACTTCCCCTGCAACCCTAGTAAGGTAACTTTACCTATACTCCGGTCAGAACCTGAATTTACGCGAAAAAACAGAAAGTATTTGTAATATTCCCTTTGGTTGATTGATATTGATAAATATAAATATGAACATAAATATAAATATAAATATAAATATAAATATAAATATAAATATAAATATAAATATAAATATAAAGTGAGTGAGTGAGTGGACGGCCTGGGGTGCACTCCGGCCAACGGAAACGTTCCCTCCCGCCATCTCTTCCCCCCTCCGCTTGCGTCATTGGGGAGGTCCGGCAAGAGTTCGACGCTCCGAGCCCCTCAATCCGAGCTGGGAAAAACGCCACCCGAACCTCCATGGGCCCGCCCCCCCAAGCCGGGCGGCTTGGGTTGGATTTGGGCACTTAGGCAAGACAGCCCACTTCACAGGAACAGAAACTCTTCCCCTTGCGATCCCTCACAAAGGTACTAAGCTGGGGGCATTGGCTCGGAGACAGGGCTTGGGGTGCGGGGTGGTCGTACCAAACACGCACACACGCACCGGCAGCAAGACTAAGGGAAAAAGCAAGTTCAGCTAATCCCCTTTTGGCTGCACAAACTCCAACAGTATCCCCTTGGCATGCGGGGCAATGCCTGCAACTCAAGGCACCGCCAATATAAATATAAATATAAATATAAATATAAATATATATATATATATATTTATATTTATATATTTATTTATTTATTTGTTTATATTTATACTTATATTTATATTTTATTGATATTTGATTTATTTGCTTATTTATTGATTTTGTTTATTTATGTATTTGTTTATTTATGTATTTGTTTATTTATATATATATGGCTATATATATATATATGTATATATAGAAACGAAAATATAATTCCTACGGGGGCTGCAGATACGATCATTTGGGCTCCTTGCAAAGAAGCCTGCAGCGAGTTACATATCAAGCCAGCGAGCCTCCAATCAAAGCCCAGGAGTTGTGGGCGCGGGGCGTCTGCTGGACTTCCTGTGGCGAGGCGCGAGGGGCGGTTTAGCGTTTAGGGACCCTCGCACAAGGAAGCTAAGGCAGCACAGCGAGGTGTTGACCTGCCCATCTCGGCCAAAGCAAATCTCAAAAGTGCCTTGAGTATGCAACCGAAGCGCTCGGCTTCCGCTCGGCTGATCCAAAGCAGCACTGCTAGCGGGGATTGTGGGTGTGTGACACAGTGGTTCAAGACACGCTTCGCGCTTCACCCACTCAAGAAATCTGCAGTCTTATACTGTTGGGAACTCAGATCTGCCCTGGGCCGGAGACGGCCCGTGATAAGCCTACTGGATTGCATGACCAACGGCGCTGCTGAAAACGACGCATGTGCTGGAAGTGCGAATGGTCTTGCAACCCAGCAGCAGGGCAATTCCTCCGGCAGAAGATTGGCCATATGCATGGGTGCCCCTTCTATAGCTAAACCCTAAACCCTAAACCCTAAACCCTAAACCCTAAACCCTAAACCCTAAAACCCTTTCCTGGAAGAGATGCTAAGACATCGGTGCTAATAAGCACCTTCCTAATCTCACAGACCTCGTCCTCCTCTCACAGCCCTCGCATCCCAGAGTTCCTGGCGAGCCACATCACGTTCCTCTGTTGTGCTTAGAAGCCCTTGGAAAATTACTTATATGAATAGGTTCCCTTATAGGGAAAGAAGGAAAACCTCAAAAATTTTCCCAAAAGCACAACCCAGGCTCATGAACTCCGAGCTGCGCCCGAGCGCCTGAACACCGAGGCCGCGCATCGGGGGCGCCATGTAGCGGCGGGCGCTGCCTCCCCACTTGCCCTTCAAGCTTCCTTAGTTGTCCAGTAATTCTGGGGGAATTTTAAGGTTAACCTTTTGGGATTATAAGGGGATTGAAATTACCCCAAAAAAGGTTAAAGGTTACCTACTCTACGACTAGGCTTCGGCCCGTGGTGTAGACGTAGAGCGCCTTGGCGTAGCGCTTGCGATGCTCGCCGTCCGTGTCGCGCGGCTGGGCCTCGAAGTGCGGCTTCACGTCTGCCAGGCTCAGGCCTTCCTTGCAGTCGGCGGTGAAGAGCAACTTGGCCAAGGAGTTGCGATCTTCCAGGTTGTGAGGGTTCTGCAGCCAGGACAAGGATCCATCGGACTTGCGCTCAGTCACAAGCACACTCTTCTCGTTCGTGTCCAGGACGATGTAGTAGTTGTTGCAGGCCTCGTGCTCCATGGCCTCCACATACACCCGGCATCGGCTGAGCTTCTCCTTGCCCAACCTGAGTTGTGCATTGAACCCTTTGAAAGCTATTTCTGAACAGGTTCCCTTGAAAGGAAGGAAGGGATATCTGAAAATTAACCCTAACCCTAAACCCTAAACCCCAAACCCCAAACCCCAAACCCCAAAGCACAGCCCAGCAACTGATCCTGCGGCTTGGAACTCCTCGTCTCCCAGGACACCGCGCGGGAGGAGAACACCACGTGAACCATCTCGGGTGCATCGACCTCCTGGATGGTGCCTCGGACATATGGCCCTTGTAAAAGCCCTGGGGTTTAGGGTTTAGGGTTTGGGGTTTAGGGTCCCTCTTATCCTACCAGTCCTTAATAGGGATGATAATCGGGGGTACTAGAATCCCTCTTAAGGTCTGTTAGTATAAGGGGGGAACATCCCAAGAGCCCTCCGAAAAAGAGAGATTCCTAAAACGATGATCCTAAACCCTAAACCCTAAACCCCAAATGTTGAAAACCAAAATGTCATCCCAAGAGGGCCTAGGCACGGACCTCCAGGCTGCCAAGCTTGTAGATCCGGAAGGCGATTCCGTCTTCGGTGACCTGATGGAACCTGGGTTTTGGCCTTTAAAGGTTTAGGGATTGGGATTTAGGGTTTGGGGTATAGGGTTTAGGGTTTAGGGTGATAAAAAAATATGTGTGTATATATATATATATATGGTCCAGTGCTCCCCGGCCCCCCCCCTCCCCTCCCCACCCATGGTCTGGAACCCCCCCCCCCTCCCCTGTGGTGTGGTTGGGGGTTGGTTTTAGGGTTAGGGTTTAGGGTTTGAGATTTAGGGTTTAGGGTTTAGGGTTTAGGGTTTAGGGTTTAGGGTTTGGGTTTAGGGTTTAGGGTTTAGGGTTTAGGGTTTAGGGTTTAGGGTTTAGGGTTTAGGGTTTAGGGTTTTAGGTTAAGGGTTTAGGGTTTAGGGTTTGAAAGGTTTTAGGGTTAACCCCTCCCCCCCCTGTGGTGTGGTTGGGGGTTGGTTTTAGGGTTTAGGGTTCAGGGTTGGTTTAGGGTTTAGGGCTTAGGGTTTGACAGGGTTTAGGGTTTAGGGTTGGAGACCGTAGGCCTGGAGGGGGGAGGGGGGGTAGGGGGGTAAACGCCTCACACACATGACATGGGTTTCTCCGAGGCGTGCTCCCTCAACCGAAGGCACAACACTCACAAAACACGGGTTTTGCCGAGGGTCGGCCCCCCCCCCCCCCTACCTGACCATACCATGGGGGGGGGGGGGGGGGCCGGACACGACAGACGCCGGACCATATATAACCATAGCCTTATAAACCCAAATAATGAAAGTCAAAAATGTCCCCAAGAACCAACCTAGAAACTCCGGGGCGGCCTTGGGAATCACGTCCTCGAGCAGGCTGCGCTTGAAGGCCTCATCGACCTCCAACTTCACCTTGGGTAGCCCCGTAACCTTATTATTATGAGTATTATTATTCTTATTCTTCTTCTTATTATTATTGTTATCATTATTTTTGCTGTTTCTATTTATTGTTACTATAATTATGAGGATTATTATGCTTCGCCTTGGTGGCCCAGTACCCATATTATGATAAGGGTAAAGTATGCCATTTTCGTGTTGGTTGCTTACTTTCTAAGGGAACCTTGAACCCAAAAAAGGGGGGCAAGAGGGCAAAAGGGGCACCACTGGGCGACCAAGCCGCCAAGCCAAAGTTCGTGGGCACGGTGTGCGAGACGCGCCCCTCGAGCTCGACCTGATAGTTTCAAAACATAGGGGGGGGGGGGGGTGCCCTTTTTGGGGGGTCCATGTTGAGGGGATTCTATGGGACTCTCTTCTATTTGGGGTCTGAACATAAGGGGTATAATTACCCCTATTCTATGGGATTCTATTCTCTTTGCGGTAAAACCGACCCTAAACCCGAAACCCTAAACCCCAAACCCTAAACCCTAAACCCTAAACCCTAAACCCTAAACCCTAAACCCTAAACCCTAAACCCTAAACCCCCTATTTCTTGGGAAAATGCCCACCTGGAAGCGGGAGGTCCAGGATCGCGGGAACTCCGATCCCGGGTTCGCCATCACGAAGCTCTTGTCCGCGAAGCCTTGCTGTTGGTTCGTAGGGTTTAGGGTTTAGGGTTTAGGGTTTAGGGTTTAGGGTTTAGGGTTTGGGGTTTGGGGTTTGGGGTTTGGGGTTTGGGGTTTGGGGTTTGGGGTTTGGGGTTTGGGGTTTGGGGTTTGGGGTTTGGGGTTTTGGGTTTTGGCTACTAACCAGCAGCAAGAAGCGTGCCCGGCGCCGCTCGCGGGTGCTGCGCTCCTCGCCCACGAGGCTGCGCACCTTCACGATGTACTCCTTGGCAGCCCAGTAACTTGCCAGTAACCATCTTACGATAAGGGCACCCCTTTTTTTTTGGGTTGGCTACTTTATCAGGGAACCTTGAACCCAAAAAAAGGGGTAAAGGGTACCACATGGGCTACACCAAGACTCGAGGTTGGGATCGGGCGGCGTGAAGGCGTCGCCCTCCTCCGTGCGGTCGCACTGCGGGACGTCGAAGATGTTCAGCAGCAGCTTCTGGTCGTCCACCTTCATTCCGGGCCAGGACTTCTGGCCCAGGCTCCTCCGGCTGGCTCTTGGTAGGGAATCAGGGAAGGAGGTACCCTAGATGATCCCTTATAGGGTAGATATAGGGCCCTTAATAGGGAATGATACCCTAATTCGGGTAGATACCTGAATTCCCTAAAATCCCTGCGAAGAACCAGTTGGCTCCTGAGGAAGGCCTTGCCCAGCGTGGTGCGGCCTTCCAGGGACGCGGCGTCGCCGCTGCAGGGTGGGAGGCGGCCCCGAAAGCGCTCCTCTTATAGAGTTCTTTAGGGTTTAGGGTTTAGGGTTTAGGGTTTAGGGTTTAGGGTTTAGGGTTTAGGGTTTAGGGTTTAGGGTTTAGGGTTTAGGGTTTAGGGTTTAGGGTTTAGGGTTTAGGGTTTAGGGTTTAGGGTTAGGGTTTAGGATTTCGGGTTTAGGGTAAGAGAGCCCTATCGTCCTCCGTGGAGAGGGAGAACTTGTCCAAGTTGAGGTCCACACCCTGTGGCATCTCGCCTTCACGTGGCCCAGTAATCATATTATAACTTATAACGGGCATACCCTTTTTTGGGGGGTTGGTTACTTTTAGAAGGGGACCTTGAACCAAAAAAAGGGCAGAAGGGATCAGAAGGGTACCACTGGGCGACCACCAAGTCGCGCTGGCCCAGCTGGAAGCGCTGCGGCATGAACATCGGCCGCCCTGACTGGCCCAGCTGCATTCCAGTCGGCTGCGGCTGGCCCTGCAGCGCATGCCGCTGAGCAAGCTCGAAACGGTCCAAGCCAAACTCGACGCCACCATAGATGGCCTGGAGCTTGCTCTGGCCACCCGTGACCATGTCGATGAGGCGCCCGTTCTTGAGCTTGATGCGCGAGTTGCCGCGCATGTTCCACAGCTGGGGGATCTCCATGTGGGGCTCCGGCGCGGCGCCCTTCACGATCTCGTCCGCCAAGCGATACCAGGATGGGTCGATGCGCGCCTTCGAGTCCACCAGGTACTTGGCCATCACGGAGGCCTTGGCCAACTCACGAAGGTGGAAGATGACACTCTTGCGCTCGGCGATGAGGTCGAAGTTCCGCGTGAAGGCCTCGGCAAACTTCTTGAGGGGGTGCGTGGGCACCGTGACGGGGGCATCCTCCAGGCCCTTGGGCGTCACGATCTGCTCCCGGGCCTCCACGCCCATGCGGACGTGCGGGATGAGGGTTTGGTCCTCGGCCATGCGGACCTCGGCCTTCTTCACCACGAACCACTCGCGGCCGGACCAGGTCTTGTCCTTGTCCCCCATCTCGGACCAGTCAAAGACGCTCAGCATCCCGAGGACGGGCATCGAGTACTCCCCCAGAGCAAGCTCCTTCAGGAAGTAGTCGGCCTGGAACATGACGTCGCCGGCGCTGGTGCCCGCCAGCCAGGAAGGCTCGAAGACCTTCTTCTGGGGTGAGTTCTCCAGGTTCTTGGGGTCGATGGGGTCCAGGGAGAAGAGGGGCTCGCGGGAGGCCGTCTTCCTCACCTTCAGGGCCAAGAGGAGGTACTCCAGGTTCACCGAGGCCGACGGCTCCAGCGTCGCGGCGACGCGCACGGTCTTCGACGCCTCATCCAGGACCAGGCAGCACAGCCCCTGAGGTGCGGGGTGGCAGCCCATGCGTTCCGCCAGGCGAAGGTTCGTCGGAACGCTGTCCATGCGCCAGCCGATGTTGTACTCCTTGGTAGCCCAGTATCCATCTTATAATCATGCAACCTTTTTTGGGTTGGTTGCTTTATAAGGGAACCTTGAACCAAAAAAAAGGGTAAAGGGTACCACAGGGCCACCAAGACTCCATGCGGTTCTTGAGCTTCTTGTTGTTCTCCCGGGTTGTGCGATGCTCCTCCTCGCGTTGGGCCTCCTTCAGGAGGACCTGGGCCATGCACTCGGTGTGGACACAGGTCTCTTTGCCCTCACGGCCCTGGTAGGCAAACTCGCCCACGGGCATGGAGCAGCGCGTGCACAGTGGGATCTCCTCCCGGTCGGAGTCCACCTCTGTGAGGTTGACCTTCGTCAAGGGCTTCTTGGTTGGTCGGTAGCTGAGCGCTGCTTGGAGCGACTCAGTGGACACTTTCTCCCCCTGCGGTGGCTTTCCGGGTCCTGTGAACCACGGGAAAGCCTTTCGGCTGTAGCCTGGGTTGGAGCCGTCCCGGCATTCCCCAAACTTCTCGGTGTACTGGCGGAAGGCTTCACGCTCATCCTCTGTCGGCTCCTTGCCGGCCTGGATTTGGGTGTTCTCCGTGTTGTCCTCGGACTCGCTGGTGACCACAGCTGGCATCTCCACTTCGCTTCCCGTCGAAGCGTCCTCAACCACGGCCACCTCTGACTTCTGCGAGGCCCACTCCGAGAATCGTCCACGGCGCTGAGCACGGCTTGGCTCCGAGTCCTCAGCCTTCACAAGGAGGTCCTTGCCACGCAGCTTCATGGTAACCCAGCCCCTGGCAGGGCCCTCACCACGCACAAGCTCGTAGCAGAGACGTCCATCCATGCTGTCGATCTCCTTGACCACGGCACCGGTGCTGAGCCGCGCCTCGCAAAGCTCGTCCGAAAGTGACGGGCCCGAGCGCACCAGGACGCCGCTATGACCCACACCGCCCACAACCTCCCAAAGTGCCATCTTGTGCGGTACGGAATGTACTACCGTGACTTGCACTTGACCTATAGAGCCAAAATGGCTGCGACGTATGGCTGGTTGAGGGTTTGCGGGGCGAGTCCCAGGCTCTTTCTGGGCTCGAAAAGCTGCTACAAATCGTCAGCCAGTGTTTGCCAGCAACGGAACCAACCTTGACCCGATTCCTCTCTTCCCCTCTCTCTCTCTCTCTCTCGTCCCCTCTGTCTCCCTCTCTCTCCCTCTCCCTCCCTCTCCCTCCCTCCTAGCGCAGAGCACGACACCGGCCCCGGGGCCTCGGAAGGCAGCTGCCCACGAAACGACGGCCGGCGACTGCCGGCTTTGGCGGCGGCCGGGACGGCATCGGCTTGCTTGGCGCCCGCCTTCGGTCACATCCAGCAATCCAGGGGCTCTCCTACTGACCACTCTTTGTCTGCTAACTTGCTGTTCTACGTGCAACTACTTGCGCGTTTGCTGGAGGCGTGCGTGAGCAAGCGAGAGCGCGAGAGAGCGAGGGAGGGGGCAGGGAGGGAGGAACGACAGGGAAAGAAAGAATGAAAAGACAAAAAGCCCATGTCTAAAACGTCGCTACCCACAACGACAAAAGAACGTGCGGCTTAAACACGATCTACAACTGATTAAACAGTTATAATGAACTCATTATCCAAATTCTGGTCCCCAGGATTGTAGCATTATTTCCAAATCAACCCCAGACCGAACCCTGAAGCAAGGCCTGGGCTGCCTGATCCCCTTCGACCTCGTCGCACAGTGCCCGGCAGAGGTCTTCGGCCCGAGCCAAAGAATCCTCGACACCTTGATTTGGGCTTTGGGTTTCAGGTTTTGGGTTTTGGGTTGAGGGTTGAGGGTTGAGGGTTGAGGGTTGAGGGTTGAGGGTTTAGGGTTTAGGGTTTACTGAGGGCTTGTGGAATGAGATGTTGCTATCCTTCGCCTCAACCCAGGACACCAGACTGCAAGAACACTTCCGACTCGCGGGCAGCCTCCAGGACCCTAAATTAGGCCCCAAAACAAGACTCTACGTTAGGCCCTCATTCCGGGCAAAGGACAGTTTCCTGACCCGTCCGCGCCTGAAGGGGGCATCTGCAGGAAGCGGAGTCGCTCACGCTCCTCGGATAACTAGGGACGGCGTCTTGGGTTCTGCGGCTTAATATAGGGGTCAAGTCCTAAGCAATAAGGGTTTAGGGTTGGAGGCTTTGGGGCTTAGGGCTTAGGGCTAGGGGTGCCCCAGTTCCCTGAGCAGGGCCAGGGCTCCAGAAGCAGAGCCTCAATGGTCGCCAGGGCGTCGCGATGGACCTGCTCTTGCCAGCGGCTGTCCTGGCTCGTTTTGGGAAGAGGGCTTAGGGTTCAGGGTTTGTGGCTTAGGGCTTAGGGTTTAGGGCTGAGGGCTCAGGGCTCAGGGCGAGGGCTTTGAGCTTAGGGTTTCAGGCTTCGGATTTAAGGTTTAGGGTTGAGGGCACTCAGATTGCTGCTGGACTTGTCTGTTGAACTCTCTAAAGCCCTTAGAACCCTTAAAGCCCTAAAAACCTGCTTTGTTAGGAGGCCGCTAGCTCTTTGGAGAAGAGGGCTTCTGAGAGCCTGAACCAGGCACTCGGAGCCAGCGGGTCTGCGTTTCAGGCGATGCTTTGGGTTCAGCGATTTTAAGCTTTATCGCGTTTAGGGTTCATAGGGCCTACAAGGTGTATTGTAGCTTGTGGGTTTAGGGTTCAGGGCTAAGCTGGCCATGGACACTGAAGGCAGTAGATTTCTGAGCAAGGCGAACCAGAAAAGTAAAACCTTAGTTCAGGTGGTACTTGTTGCCCTGTCCACGTCAGGAATTTTGCCGGACAGGAGGACTCATTTTCGACCCTTATATCATATCTCTTATAACTACCCATGAACCGTTGAACCATAAGAAAGCTGGGACGCTGCCATTCCATTGCAACTCTATCCCTATAAATCCTATAGATTGGGATATCCCCCCTTATACTAACATTCATCAATGGGCATTCTAGTACCCCGCATTATAAGGGGGAACATCCCAATGAGGCACTTAAGGGGGCTTCTAAGTGGGTTATAAGTACAGTCATAATTGGTACCAGGAGCCTCCAAGTGTAAACCCTCTTTTGCTCCCGCCTCCCAGAACTTGCGCCCGGAGAAGGCCAGGCACTCGTCCAGCAGCTGCAACGGCTCCTCCCACCAAAAAAAGCACGGATGCCGCAAGCGAAAAGGGGTGCCCTTGTTGGTTTTTAAAGAGGCTTACAAGGGAACCCAAGCCCTAAAAGAAGGGGAATAAGGCCCTACTCTGGGTCCTAGAAAGAGTCACAAACGCGCAGGAATATAAGAAGTTGCAGAAGACTAGGGAGCCCCACAGAACGTGCCCTGAGCCTTGTTGAATCTTGGCCTCTTCTTCGGGTAGGTACATGGTGGGGTTTAGGGTTTTTTACCCCAATAAACCTACACCCACCATGTAACTACCCTAATAGGTGGGTTACATTATGGGACCATGTAACTACAGACCTGTGGGACTGCCGTGGAAACATGCACTATCTTGGCTTAGAAATTTGGGAACGGAACCCTAAACCCTAAAACCCAAAACCCTAGAACCCTGGAACCCTAGAACCCTAGAACCGTAGAACCCTAGAACCGTAGAACCCTAAACCCTAAACCCTAAACCCTAAACCCTAAACCCTAAACCCTAAACCCTAAACCCTAAACCCTAAACCCTAAACCCTAACCTGGCCCTAAACCCTCAATCCTAAACCCCAAACCCCAAACCCTAACCTAAATCCCAGAACCACACCGGACCCCCGGTCTCCGCGTGTGGCGATTGCAGGCGCCGCATGTGGCACGCTTTCCTGGGCACGGGGGCGGCGTGGAAATTTTTTGGGGCTTCAGGGTTCGTCACTTGGGTTTATAGGGTCTGTTGTTTAGGGTTTAGGGTTTAGGGTTTGGGGTTTAGGGTTTGGGGTTTGGGGTTTGGGGTTTAGCGTTTAGGGTGTAGGGTTGAGGGTTGAGGGTTGAGTAGCATCGACATGCCACGAAAGGCGGAAGGGGTGAGCCAGTAGCATGATCCGCCCAAGCGGCTGGATCTGAGCCTCATAGGCATCGCTCGTCACTTCCTCAGTGGCTTCAAGAGGCTGCGAGTGGTGGGCAGAAAGCGTTGGGACTCCCGGATTCTGAGTGCCTTTAGGATACAATTCAGGGTTTAGGGTTTATAGCGTAGGGTTTAGGGTTTCGGGTTTAGGGCTTAGGGTTCAGGGTTCAGGACAAATCGAACGCAGATCCCCCCTATCCTACGACGTCGGCATTTGGGGAGCCAGGACCTGGCCTGGTGTGTTTCCGCAGCTGCGCGAATCACATCGCAGGGATGCTGGCTTCCACTGGTGTTTCGGGTGGGGGTTGTGGGTTGTGGGTTGTGGGTTGTGGGTTGTGGGTTGTGGGTTGTGGGTTTAGGGTTTAGGGTTTAGGGTTCAGGGTTCAGGGTTCAGGGTTCAGGGTTTAGGGCCACTTGCAGCTAACTGCCGCCTGGCTTCCACTGGTGATCGTGGTTGGTCTGACGGCATCAGCTGAGCGACGACCTCCCCACAGGCTCTTGGGCCACGCCCCAGAAAGCCCCAACACACCCAAGCCTTCCCCAACCCCAATCCCCAACCCCAACCCCCAACCCCAACCCCCAACCCGAACCCCCAACCCCTAACCCGAACCCCGAAGCCCAACCCCCACCCCTGCACCCAACCCCCAACCCAACCCAAACCCTGAACCCCACCCCAAACCCTAAACCCTCAACCCTAAACCCCAAACCCTCAACCCTAAACCCTCAACCCTCAACCCTAAACCCCAAACCCTCAACCCTAAACCCTCAACCCTAAACCCTAAACCCTAAACCCTCAACCCCAAACCCCAAACCCTCAACCCTAAACCCTAAACCCTCAACCCTAAACCCTCAACCCTAAACCCCAAACCCTCAACCCTAAACCCTAAACCCCAAACCCTCAACCCTAAACCCTCAACCCTAAACCCTCAACCCTAAACCCTAAACCCCAAACCCTAAACCCTAAACCCTCAACCCTGAACCCCAAACGCAGGCCTCCGCCTGGGCCGCAAGTAGGCTCCGGAGCTCCCCTGGTGGGCGCGACATCCCGTTGCAACAACCGCCGGGCCCTGAGCCCCTTCTTGCAACGCAGGAAACATGTTTGTAGGGTTTAGGGCTTAGGGTTTAGGGTCTACGAGTTTAGGAGGTTTAGGAGGTTTAGGGATGTTAAGGGATTTAGGGTGTAGGGCTTTTTTTTTGCCACCCGCACTGCTCACACCGCCAAGGCATCCGCTCCGCAGGGTCCGTACGAGGGAATCAGGGAATCAGGCGTAAACAGCACACCGACGAATCTTCGCAACTTCAATCAATTTGCGAGGCACGTCGAGGTTGACCAAGATATCAGTGCAACAGGACGAAATGGGAAGCTACTAGGTGGAGTGGCTTGAGTGAGAAAAACAAAAGTGGCGCAATAGTGTATCACTCCATCTACAACTGTGGCCCCATTAACAGGGTTTAGGGTTTCGGGCTTGGGGTACCTTGTTTAACCCGTACTGGCGCTTGTTTTACCCCTGAACCCTAGAATTGGTGAAGGGAATGGAAAACCCTAAACCCTAAACCCTAAACCCTAAACCGACAACCCTAAACCCTATGAACCCTAAACCCGAAACCCTACAAACCCTAGGACCCTAAATCCCGAGCCTGGCTCAGGGGCCTTTCGGAGTCGGTCGGCGCGCCAGCGCAAGGACCTGACTTGGAAGTTTGAAGCACTCGCAGATTAGGGTTTAGGGTCTCAGGGTAAAGGGTTAAGGGTTCAGGGTTTAGCGTTTATGGTTTAGGGTTTAGGTTTACGAAGTAAGGGTCCTTGATTTGGGTCCCTTGTTCTATAACCCTTATATACACTATATATACTGGGCACCATACTTCGGATCCCTATGAACAAGGGCAAGGGGCCAGTCACTAAGGGTGAAAGGGAACCTGCAGTTCTGACCTTAAATAAAGTCCGTAGAACCCTACGTCTACCTATCAATGAACCTTCAATCCAGGGCTTGCAAGGGTCGAGGATGTTGCATTTAACGCGCATTGCAGGGTCCTGCGCAATGAATGCCCGTCACTGAACCCGCATTCGAATCGGTTCGAAATTATCAGCTCTATGGGCCCTAAACCCTGCAAACTCCGCCAATTTTTCTCACCGTAAAGCCCCTAAGTCTTGCCCTAAGTCCCAGAGCCTCACTAACACCCACTTGTTGGCTGAATACCCTTGCCCCAAAAATGGTTAACCTTTTATATATAGTAGGATCCTATAATCACCCTAAACCCTAAACCCCAAACCCCAAACCCTAAAACCTAAACCCCAAACCCTACCCAGTCCCTAAGCCCAGGGAGCTGGTTCTCCGACTCCAGCTGCGCGAGCCGAACCGCCTCGCAGTATGAAAGCCCTACTCTTGATGGCCCCTTGCATCCCTATGAGGGCTTAGGGTTTAGGGTTTGGGGTTTCGGGTTTAGGGCTTAGGGTTTAGGGTATAGGGTTAAGGGTTTCGGGTTTAGGGATGTTTAGGGCATGCAGAATAAGATGCTCAAGGGTCCAGAGTCCAGAATACGAGTCCGGGATTCCCATAATCTCAAGCATTTCAGCTGAGGAACAAGCCAAAGAGCCCGAGTCAACCTTCCGAAATCAGGGCTACCTTATTGGGGTCCTCATGATGAGGGAATCCTGCTATTTGGGGGTCTATATTAGGGGGCCCTTCATTCCCTGCCCAAGTTTCACGAACTTCTCAATCATCGGGGGTTTGCGAAATTAGGGGTACCTGATTGGGGTCCTTATTCTAAGAGGATCCTACTTGCATTCGGGGTCCGTCAGTATCGTAAACCCTAAACCCTAAACGCTAAACCCTAAACCCTAAACCCAGCCAGCCTGCTGGTGTAGGATCTCAGCCCAGAGGGCATCCGTAGCGTGCGCCGTGCTGGTCCTGGTGCAAAAGACACGAGCGAAGGATCAGAGGCCTTGAGAGGAAGCCGATGCCGGCAGAGACTCTTCTAAGGGCTTAGGGTTTTTTGGCACCCGCATAGCTGGACGAACCAGTCAGCAGGTCTTAGGGTTTAGGGTTTAGGGTTTAGGGTTTAGGGTTTAGGGTTTAGGGTTTAGCGTTTAGGGTTTAGGGGTTAGGAGCCACGACACACTGACAGCCTTTAGGGACGGCGGGCCGCAACATGCCCTAGGCCCTAAACCCTGAACCCTGAACCCTAAACCCTGAACCCTAAACCCTAAACCCTAAACCCTAAACCCTAAACCCTAAACCCTAAACCATGACAGGGGCAGCGAGACTTTCTCGGGCCTCGCTTCCTCCAGGGGCTCTCCCTCAGAGACCGCCAAGGGCCCCATCGCCTTCGGAAGCTTTGGTTCCCGGTGCGTGGGACCCTAAACCCTAAACCCTAAACCCTAAACCCTAACCCTAAACCCTAAACCCTAAACCCTAAACCCTAAACCCTAAACCCTAAACCCTAAACCGGGACGTGTAGGGCTTTCGATTTTTGTAGGGTGTTGATTGAGGTAAGAGAGAAGAGCACACGTCCGTCTCGGGACCCAGGCTGATCCGAGCAAGGGGTAACTTCCCTGTCGCTCGACACCTGATTGACTGATTGAAGCTGGAACGGAGACCCTTAACCCAACCAAAACCAACAGAAACCTAACCTCCAATCCCTACAGTCCTACTGCACAAAGCCCCACAAACGTGGCGCGACGCGACTCATCTGAAATCCCTAAACCCTAATCCCTAAACCCTAAACCCTAAACCCGAAACCCTAAACCCTTGCAGACTTGAAGCCCATGACGTAAACAGCCTACTTGCAGCCACAGCATGCGCGCGAACCCACAACTCGGAACCTTACGGGTCCTCGAAGGGAATCAGGGAAGTAGGGCCCAGAGCGTCCCTAACAGAATGTAGGGGGGGAGGCCATAGCGTCCCTTAAAGGGTATTAGGGGGGGGGGGGGGGGGGGGGGGGGGCGGGATAAGGTACCTGATTCCCTCATTGCCCATACTCAGAACCAGTCATACAGGGGTCGGAATAAATACTAAGAGTTTTTCCCTGTGGTCCCTTTATAAGTATACGATTAGCTCCCCAAAACGCTATTCATTCCTTAAGGCCCCTCTATTGGGATGTTCCCCCTTATACGAACAATCCTTAATAGGGGTCATAGTACCCCCTACGAGAATTCCGATTAAGGACTGTTAGTGTAACGGGGAACATCCCAGCCCCTATAGTAGGTCCATGCCCCCCCGCCCTCACCAGCGCCTCCTTTGCCTTGGCCGCGGCCGCCGCCAAGAGGCCCTCTCCACAAGCAGAGACGGTGTGCCTGGGCAACATCCGAAGAAGCCATGCTATTAACATATACGTACACACACATATATACATACCTATACGTACATGTGTATCTGTACATAAGCATATGTATATGCATATACAAGTATCTGTATATGTATATGTATATGTATATGCATATGTAGATGTATATGTAAGCATATGTAGATGTGTGCACATTACCAACTCATGAGAAGCGTTTATAACCAGCCGGAGTCGATGGCCGTTTTGGGAACGGAATTTGACAAATACATCTTCGAATTCAGCAGCAAGGCACGAAGTTGTGAAGGAACAGCAAGGAGGAGTAGCAAAAGCCACGTGCTAACATCGGTATTCTTGGCAATTTCGATTTTGGGATGTTCCCCCGTATGCTAACAATCCTTAATAGGGATTATCCTCTCCTGGGGAGGTGGGATACTATAATCCCTACTTGGGACTGTTAGCATAAGGGGGGAAATCCCAAATTTCGATGTTCAACCAAGGCATGTTCAACAAAAACTTCCCTGAACGATGCGCTGCTTGCAGTGCCCCACAAGCAAAGTAAAGAACCACGGCAGCAGCTAAAAAAGGTTAACCTTTTATATATAGTAGGATTCTATACAACCAAAAAGCTTGAAGGTTACCTGCCCAGTTTCTAAGGCAAAGAGGGAATGAGGCAATGCTCTCTAACAACTCTTTAGTTTATGAAAAGCCGAATTACCTGACCTTCAAAAGCCGTGAAATCGGTGAGGCGAAAACAACAACTCAACAATAGAAAGAAGAAAGAAAGCATTCATTGCGTACATTCAGTACGTTCTGTCATTCACTTCTCTTTTACTTTCTTCTAATAATTCGCAGGCTTTTAGTATTCTTATTTGCCCGGGGGTTTAGTTACTATTATTGTGGGCCAGTAGATGTATAATTTATAGGCCCGTTAATATAATATGCTTCATTTGTCCGTTTATTGGTCTTGGACATCTTACCTTTTCATTTAAACTCTCAACCAAAACTAAACTCATTAACCAAAAAACAAACCCGAGACCCCCCAAAATGGCCTCAGGGCGGAGGCGCAGAGCAGCGGGGTGGCCGTGACCTCCGGCTGCGAGGGTCCGGCAAGGGGCCTGGCCCAAGTGCCGCGGATCATAGGAGGGTTTGGGCCCCCCTGGTTCTTAGTCGGGGATGAAGGAATGAGGGCCCTATATATACCCTTTAAGGGATTATGTAGGGTACCTCATTCCCTCATTCCCTACCAAGAACCAGCCAGTTACGCACGTAGCAGGCTTGCCATGCTCACCCCTAAACCCCCAAAGGCCCCAGAAACCCCAAAACTAAAGCCTGGACCCTAGCAAACCCTCAAACCACCCGGAAACCCTTCTAAATAAACCCTTAAAGTGTTATTGAAAGCCCTGCAAACCCCAAAAGCCCTGCAAACCCCCAAAGTCCACCCTTTTTGAACCCGGGCTCTTTGAGGTGCCCCCGCCCAAAGTCCACCCTAAACCCTCAACCCTACTTGGAGGTTCATGGTACTTACTAACCAACTATAACTGGGCTTATAACCCTACTTATAATACCCCCAAAGGGCCTTATTGGGGTCATTCCCAATTATAAGTAGGGTTATAAGCCCAGTTATAGTTGGTTAGTAAGTACCATGAACCTCCAAGTAACCCGTAAACCCGTTTTGGAACCCAGACTCTTTTCATGTCAGCAGGCACGATGACCATTGCATCGACTTACATCTCAAGCCCGTACACCCTAAACCCAAAAGTCCAGGTTGTGGGGCTGGGTGCCTCAACTCAGGGGAGGCGCTGGCGGACTCCGGCTTTGATGCCAGCTCCACCTCGGCGCATTGAGGTTTGGGGGGGGGGGGGATTGAATCATACTGCGGCATCACATCATGCGAGGTCGTGTTCCAATGTAAAACAAAGCAATGTAGCATAGTACATCTTACGACTAGACTATGATGCAACACATATGTGCGTTATCTTTCGTTACGGATCCTGAGGGTTTCAGGGAGGGATTTGGGCTTGAGGGCGACAACTCCAGTTTGGGGCCGTTTGTCTCACTCTGGGAAAAATGGCAAAGCCCCTCGCTCCACGCAAAAGACATACGGGTGGTGCCCAAAAAAAACACAGGGTTCTTATTTCGTGGTTCCTTTTTTGGGACATACCCATATCTAGCCCCAAGCCCTTGCACCAGTGTAGGCAAAAAGTGCAAAGTCTTAGAGTTCGGGGAGCTGTGCCCAGAGACTCCCAAAACCCCTTAATTAAGGAGTATCCCTTAAAATAGAATAGGAACCCTAATATGATTTAAGGTATCTTCCTTAATTAAGGGGGGTTTTGGAGTTTCTGGGTGGACGGAGCTTGGAAGCCAAGGGCTGCGACTCCCAGCTTCGGGCTTCACTTCTGAGGGCGGGGGCTCTGTGTGGTCTGTCCTGGCTGCGTAGACCACGGCCTACCTGTGTGGGTGTGAGCCCACAAAAACAAAAGGGACCCTACATCCATACCCCCGCGACCTTGCAATTAAACTTCTCACGCCCTGAAGCTGCAGGACCAAGCTACCTCCGTCTCAGCCTTTATGCTAACTTCCTCCCTTCTCAGAGTGAGCCGTAGATCCGAATAAACCTGAATCCTAAACCCTAAGCCCTAAGCCCCAAATCCTAAACCCTAAACCCCTAAGACCCTGAACCCCAAAAACCGCCAGACCCCCTTATCCTTCATTGGCCGCAATCGAGCCGCCGCCCGGCCGGCAGCTGCCAAAGCAGCCCGCAGGCGCTCGAGCTCGGCGTCCTGCTGCTGGCTTTAGGGTTTGGGGTTTAGGGTTTAGGGTTTAGGATTTAGGGTTTAGGTTTTAGGGTTTAGGGTTTAGGGTTTAGGGTTTAGCGTTTAGCCTTGAGAGTTTAGGGTTCAGGGTGGTCTAAAATCGGGGTCCAATTTGGGATCTAATTTGTTTATGGATCCCTGCCTTTTCGTAAAACCCCCCACTCCTTGCCCTTGTCCTGAAACTCAAGCTTGTGAGTCTTGTGTTTAGTGTTACGATGAGGAGTGATTCTTAGCACGATTATCAGGTTCTTTTTCGCTTTTCGCAGCCTGCGGGCAAGGCTCTTTTTCCGTATGGGCTTGGGGCCTTGGCTCCCCCCTGAGCTGTGAGGCCAGGAGCTCCCCTGGTCTGGTTTAATGTAGGAGCCTAAATAATTAAAATGGTGGTTTTTTTTTTTTTTTTTTGGGGGGGGGGGGGGGGGGGTTGTTTTCGTATATACTTACAAAAGCGGATATAAGGGAATGTTGTTAGTAATTTTTCCGACACCTATATTAGTTGCCAAGCCAGGCGAGGCACATCCTGTCCAGCATCCTTCGCCGGTCTGTTTATAGGGTTTCTGGTTTAGGGTTCAACGGTTTGGGTTTTTCTTGCCCCCGCCTAGCTGACTGCAAGACGCATTGCAGGGACACCTGCACGAAAACTCGACGACGCATCGATACGCTAGTTCGTTCATCAACCCGCCTGCTTCGTCAACACACCCCTCGAAAAATGTTCGAAGACTCACCGACCAGGCTCACTGTTGCTTCAACCCTGTAGAAGGTACTTAGTTGTCCAGTAACCTGGGGGAATTCAAGGTTAACCTTTGGGATTTTATAGGGGTTAGAATACCCCAAAAAGGTTAAAGGTTACCTACTCTACTACTAAGGGTAAATGTCCAAGAAACAAAGGGACGCAAACCCAAACAAATGTCCCTTACCATCCCAACAGTTCTACTTTCAACAACGCCCATCACCTTCTCAAGGATCTGCTTTCAACCACGTGATACATACGGGGTTTAGGGTTTAGGGTTTAGGGTTTAGGGTTTAGGGTTTAGGGTTTAGGGTTTAGGGTTTGGGGTTTAGGGTTTAGGGTTTAGGGTTCAAGGTTTAGGGTTTAGGGTTTCTACACCCTCCCGTCCTGCTCGGCCAGGCGCTCCTGGAGCCACTTCTCCTGCTTTAGAGCTTAGGCTTCTAGGATTCAGGAATTCAGGCTCTGTCTGTCAGCCTGGCTGACTTTAGGGTTTGGGGTTTAGGGTTTAGGGTTTAGGGTTTTGGGTTTTGGGTTTTGGGTTTAGGGTTTGGGGCCAACCGCGCAGAGCTGGACGAACCACTCAGCAAAGCTTTTGGGTTTCACTTCTCACTCTCGGGGTTTGGAGTGTAGGCGCCTGGTCCTGAAACCCTCACGCTGTATACATGGCTAACTCTCAAGCCCTCTTACCCCGTAAAGCTCTAAAGCATCCGGGGCCCTTCCATTTCAAAAGCAAAAAAGGCCCGAAGAACCCCGAGGCTCCTTGACCTGGTTCTCCAGGAGGTCGGGGCATGTCTTCCGCCGAGGAGACAAGCCATTTTGCAGGGACACCGGCGAGAAGGACTCCTCAACGCCCTTGCCTGGGCACTTGGAGATGTTGGCCTTATTTTATTCTTTTCCCTGTGACCCTGGGATTTGAAAAAGTCAATAGAGCACCTTGCTATAGAGTTGAAGGAAAGCTTCAAGGAAAGCCCCGAGGATGATCAAGAACGCATGAGGCCTGAAGGCCCGACGACTAGAACACAGAGCCCACTACTACTCGTGGACACGCGAAGCCTTTCGGGTTTAGGGTTTAGGGTTTAGGGTTTAGGGTTTAGGGTTTAGGGTTTAGGGTTTAGGGTTTAGGGTTTAGGGTTTAGGGTTTAAGGTTTAGGGTTTAGGTTTAGGGAACAAGACTACATGGCACCTGATGCACGCAAGCAAACCCTGAACCATAAACCCTGGCCGCCCTTGGCTTTGGGAACCCTTCCCAAGAGCTGAAGTTGACTCAACCTCCTGCGATGTCACGGCCACTTACACTTACCCCCCACATAACCCTAAACCATAAACCCTAAACCCTTTTTGCTTCAGGGCTCCTGCGGTAGCTTGCCTGTGAGCGAGGTTGTTCAGGTGACATCATGCGAGCCGGATGACTTCGTCAACGACCCTGTCCTGAACCTCTTCAAACACCAGTATCTGGGATTGTTTAAAACCCCCCAACCCCCCCCAGACACCCGCAACCGCAAGCCGAAGCGGCGGCTGACGCGCGAGCGCTCGGAGGACCGCGAGGAGGCTTCGCGGAGCGAGCTGAGGCTGTGGGGCTCCGTCTTCCTGGGCTCTATAGTAAGGACGTTTAGGAAATTTGGGAGGTTTAGGGTTAGGGTTTAGGGTTTAGGGTTTGGGGTTTAGGGTTTAGGGTTTAGGGTTTAGGGTTTAGGGTTTAGGGTTTAGGGTTTAGGGTCTAGGGTTTAGGGTTTAGGGTTTAGGAAATTTAGGGTTTTGGGGCTTGGGACAATCTAGGGCTTAGGCGTTAAGGCTTGAGGCCTTGTAGGGTTTATGCCTTTAGGGCCTGTGAAATCTAATAGGTTTAGGCTGTAAGGTTTGAGGCCTTATAGGGCTTGTGGTCTCTGAAATATCCGCAAGCCACCCGAACCCCTGAACACAGAATCAACCCAAAACTTACACGCCTTAAAGTCCCCAGGCCCCGGAGGCGACGTCTAACCCCGCCAAAAGAATCCCTAAGGCCTCTTATAAGGGTCCGTCCTTTCGTCCCTTGACAAAACAGCCAGGCCAAAGGGGCGACTTCTTGAAAGACATGGAGGGTGACACGCTGCTCCGGGCGCTGCTGGGCGTGACGCTGCCGCTCGCCAGGGAGCCGCCCCCGAAGTGCTGGATCCGGCCGATCTCCTTTCCACGCTCCCTAAGCCCCTGAGCCCCCTAAGCCCTTAAGACCCCTACCCCTAAGCCCCTAAGCCCCTAAGCCCCTAAGCCCACTAAGCCCGAAGCCCTTGATCCGTAAGCCCCTAAGCCCTAAGCCTAATCCCAAGCCCCGTAAGCCCCCCTGAGCCCCGTAAGCCCCCCAAGCCCTAAGCCCAACAAGCCGCTGCTGTCCTGGAACTCCGACCTCAGCCGATCCAGCGCCAAGAAGGGGTCCGTCTTCGCAGTGGCTTTTATGTCGGCGAGGTTCATGTTCCTGGGCACAAGGGCATTCTTAAAAACCCTCGTTTACCTTTTTCTAAACCCTACTAGTGTTTGTTGATAACCCTCTCGTTTGTTGTTTGGGGTGTGTGTTTGTGTTGTTTCTTCTATTTGGGGGAGTGGTGGGGGGCTGGGGAGGGGGCTGCGACAAGGTAGCTTGTAAAGTGGTAAACCAATGATCGGCCCAAGGGCGAAAACGGCGAACCCCACAACCTTTGAAGTCTATCGCCCGAGGTAACCCAGAACCTTGACAGATCTGTTCTGCCCAAAACCCTAAAAAACCCTAAACCCTAAACCCCTAACAGGTCGAATCATGCAGGCTCTGGGCTCCTGATCCTTTAAATTTAAGACTGTACAAAAGGAACCTACAATTTCGGGAACCCTAACAGGTAGGTAGGTTCTGGGACCTAAACCAGGGTTCAGGGTTCAGGGTTCAGGGTTTAGGGTTCATTGTTTAGGGTTCAGAGTTTAGGGTTTAGGGTTCAGGGTTTAGGGTTCAGGGTTCAGGGTTTAGGGTTCATTGTTTAGGGTTCAGAGTTTAGGGTTTAGGGTTCAGGGTTTAGGGTTCAGGGTTTAGGGTTCAGGGTTTAGGGTTCAGGGTTCAGGGTTCAGGGTTCAGGTTTTAGGGCATCCTCTCACCTACAAACCCTCAACTCCCAACGCAGGCCCGAGGTTCAGCCGCTCAGAGGCCCGCCGCTCCTCGCAGCTACGCACATTGAGATACGGCTTTGCAGATTTTGTAGGGCTTTGCGAGGCTGCGCGGTCTAGGGTTCAGGGTTTAGGGTGTAGGGTTTAGGGTTTAGGGTTTAAAGGCTTTATCCAAGTAAGCCCTAGAACGTTGATTGGGGAGGTGCGGGAGGTTCTTTAGGTGGGGGGGGGGGGTATTTTTGCCAGAAGGTTGAAAGGTTCACGACTCCCCCCGCCCCGAGACCCACTTTGCCGGCAAAGCTCCGTGTTCAGCGGCTGCGAGGACACGCTGGGCCTCCGCTCGCCCTCGGGGCGGCTCGTCGCCATGTCCAGAGCAGCGGCCAAGGGCGAGGCCCTTAAAACCCCCTACACCTTACTCAAACGTGAAGCCGTGAGAGCCTTGGCTCTTGCGACCACAAATACAAAAATATTCCTCTAAAAACTCTAAACCAAACACACACATGTCAGCATGTTTCAGAGCAGATATGACGGATAAGGGCTTGTTGGCTGGGCCAAAGAAGCTCAAGGTGTTTGCAGCTGAGGGCGCTTGAGGGCCTCTGCCAAGCCAACTTCTGGAAACACCCTCTCCGCTGCTGCTTGGGCCACGCGCCCTCCGTGACATAAAATGTGCTTGAGGACTAGTGGTGGGCTCAGGTTCACAGGGTCACTTCTCGTCTAGCCCTCGTTGTTGAGGGCCCGACTTCGGGCCCGACTTCGGGTCCTGAGGCCTTCAACCTTCCTTTCAGCTTGGGGTGGTTTCACCTTTTGGCGAGTGGTCAGTTTTCTTGGCTGGGAGATTTTCTTTGCATGTGGTGTTGACAGGATCAGCCTACCCTCTTGCACGATCCTCGCGATACCTTCCAGCAACAATGCACACGAACGCCTTGTTTTCTCCTGGCCTTCCGCGAGTCTCGCAAGCAGGGCTCCCAGAACGCAGCGCATTTCGGCAGGCAGCTGCGGCGTCTCTGCATCCCACTTGCGCAAATCCACAAAATACGCCAGCTGCCAAGCATACTTAACCCTGGTCTTCTCCCCCTTTGGAAGTCTCCAGGGGGGGTGCAGCTGCAAGCCGCAAGCCCTTTGTCCTAAATACCCCAAATTTGTCAGAAGGTCGGAAGGGAAGGCAAATAGCCCAGCAAGTTGGCCGTCATCCAGGAGTGACACCAAGAGAAGGTCGAAGTCCGTCTCTGCATATGCAAGTCTACCCAGCGCTCCTCCGCACTTCCAAAGATTTGCTGAGTAACCGCGTGCTTGAAGAGTTGATGCTTTCTCCTGAACGCGCCACCTGCCTCCTTCACCAACAAGCACGGAGTCCACAGTTGCCAAGCCTGCAAACGACTTCTGAAGCTGACAGCCGATGCGGCTGAACAACGTCGTCAACAGAGCATGGGCCTGCTCTTCAACGAGGTGGGTGGGACTGCACTGTAAGCGAGCCTCTGAAAGCGAGAGGTGAGGAAAGTCCTGTCTGTTGCGATAGCAGCCCTCCAGCAACGAGCCGACGTCTCTGACCTGAAGCGCCATGTCCCTGCTCGAACCAGGCTTTATGAAGAAGTGCCATTGTGTCACAGATGCCCCTGGCAAGGCCCATAATGCATCGCCGTCAAGCGGCAACAGCACCAACAACATTCCGGCATACCCACGTGTCCGAGAGAATACATATCCATAGTCTTGCTGGCGAAAACTGGCCGACTTCAGTTGCAAGGCAAGCCCGCCAGTTAGAGAGCCTCGGGGCTGGAAGAGCGCATCCACTTTGGAGGATTCTGATACTCGGATGATCTCGTAGGTCTCTGCTTGCGGCGACGACATGAAAAGGCGCCGCAATCGATCAAAGGATGCGTCTTCCTTGCTGGCATTCTTGGAATAAACTGCGAGGGCACGGCGCCGCGACTTCTGCGGGTCTTCCTTAAAGGACGCTTCCAGTGGCGTGGGAAAGTTCAGCGATCGCTTTAAGCGAATTCCATCGTGACACAAACCTCGAAGTCGCAGGTCATATGCATGTGCCGCCTCCTGCTCCGTCAGAAAATAGCCCACATGTTTGTGCTGTCCCTTGAAGCCGACTCGTGCATGGTATTTTCCCCTGGCCTTGTTCCAGTAGACTCCGTTATATTGGCTCGAGACCCAGCGGTGCCAGCATAGTCGAGGCAGCTGCAAGTTGCGCTGCTGTCCAAGCATATGGATATCAAGTCCGAGAATCACTTGCAGAGCCCATCTGCTACTGGAAACGCACCTGGTGGCCATTGGGGCCCATATTACCAAGAATCAATGCCACAGATGTCAACGTCCTCACGCCTCAATCCCATGAAGCACGCGCCCGCATTCTCGTGTCGTGTTCTGCACATGCCTTGTTGTCCCACCATCCGGGGGTTATTGCCGTGCCTTTTTGCAGCCAGAGCAGCTACCTGCGTGCTATTGCATTCAAAAGGAAGTCTGGAGCCTGCTGGCTTGAACCAGCCGTACCAAGATCAAGCCCTCACTCACTATACCAACAACGGCGCTGATTAGACGCATCGCGAGTCAGCAGAAACTGTGAGCGGGCGCTCAACACCACCATGCTATGCTATGCTAGGGTAGAAATTTTCCTGATAGAACAAAGTACGAGAGTGCACCATCTAATATGCAAAACCATGAGTACTTCAGTACACCATCGTGGACTGCAAACTTCTGTGATATATTCCAGGCTTCTGCCTGCCAAAATGCTCGCCACAATGTGCCAACATACACGCCAGTAGGCATGTAGTACATACACAAAGCAAGGTAGGCATCATAGTAGAACAGTACTACAGGACTCCTTAAATACTCGCAACACAATGGCCCGGAACACGCCCATCACAAACCCAGAGTGCAGAACCATCACAAGGTCAACCGGCACATTGCGCACCGCATCTATCACGTGCAAAACTCTCTTGCCTACCATATGGGGGTTTACGACAATAAGGGACCCCTAAGATCCCCAAATAGTAGGATTCCCTTATAATAAGGACCCAATAAAGTGTACACCTCTATTTTCGTAAACCCCCATATCGAGGAGTTCGGCGACACGCGGTGCCACTGCAAGATTTGGCATCCTCAGAGTGTGGATGATGAACGTAAAGGAGTATATGGTCGGTTCTCTAAACGAGGGTCCCTTTTTGGGTACCCGAACTGTGAGGGGCCGCCTAAGAATAAGGACCCCAAAAGGGACCATATTTTAGAGAAATGACCATGTAGAAGGTTTTACTAGAAGGTCGTATACTTGGCACACCAGAAAAGACCACTGTAGCTACAGTATGCAGTAATCTACTCTGCTCAAGTTTCCTTTTTCAACGACGCACGAAGTGTTGCACGAGTATGCTCACGACAGCAGCGGGAGGATACTGAAGTAAAAATACACACTGTGAAAGGGAAACAGCGACTGAAAGTACTTCTCGTCCGCACACTGGAAGAAAACAACTCCACGCGACAGACGCGTCAGCATGCCATGTTGACTACAAACACCGCCTTCCAGTTCTAGGGTCTGCGGCCGGGGAGGCTGTCGGGCAAGACTCTCGCCAGAGTGCAGCTCTTTAAAGGTCATCGCTTGGGATGTTCCCCCTTTATACTAACAGTCCTTAACAGGGATTATAGTACCCCTATTATTATCCCTATCAAGGACGGGGAACATCCCAAGTCATTGCGCAAGTACGCGTAATGGTGAAGTAGTGCCAGCGCAGGGTGAGGGCTCCGAGGTTGGGTCCAACGCCGGTGCGGAGCTCGGCGCGGTGAGGTTCAGTCACAGCACCTGGCACAAGGAATTTTAGGGGTACAGGTGTGACTTTTGTTAGGGATTAGGGTTTAGGGCTTCGGGTTTGTTTGGGGCGTAGTGGACGAGTGACAGCGCTAATCAAGCCTTTGCGATTGTAAGCAATTGCCATCATTCTCCCACATCCTAAGCTTCTTGTACATCTCCAGCGAACCTTGCAGGACGTCCCCAAGGCTGCATGAATGCTCCATTGCAGACAGGACTTCGGGGCCTGAGTGACCACAGCACAAGGCAGTGCAAGGCGGCTTGCCTTTTCTGCAGAGGCATCCTGAATATCGGCGTCACAAACTGATCAGATGGGTGACCTGTGCGTCCGGCGCCCATGCAACGGCCGCGCACGACGCACCTAAGCCTGGGGGACTTCTGATGCCATATGTACATAGATACATCCCCGGAGAACTGGGCTAGGCCACCCAAAGCATGCAGCAGTTGGCATGCTCCAGCTAGGGCTTCCCAAAAATGGCATTCTCACTCTGTAACTCAAAGAAATTCTGCACGGCCTGTCTACACATGCATGAACACGAGGTTCAGCGTCCGGAGAGCACAAATACTCTCCGTAAGCTGAGTCGAGCATGCGGAGCTGACTCCTGAAAACAGGCCTTATCAAAAATGCACGACGATCTGTACATCCCCCCCACTCGTAGCAACGAGGGTCCCGGCCTCTACGCCACCACTCCTGGGGTGGTAAAACCCGTAGCCTAACCCGCAGCCTATGAATGAAATGCATCGCCATGGCTGGGTAACACCTCATTCAGGAAGACAACCACATAGGCTGCCGACACAGAAGCGCTTCAGCGTCGCGTCGTGGGGTTTGGGCAAAGGAGTAGGTTGGTCTCCCCGGAAGTTCCCGGAAGCCTTCTGCGTACGACCCTGGGTTCGCCACGCCCCTGTGCCTAGCCCGATGAGCGTCACAAACTGATTGGATAGCGGGGATAGTGGCCTCTCAGGCTCTGTGGCCTGGCGTCCGGTTGCCCATTGCAAAGGTCGTGCACGGCGCAGCTAAGCTTAGGGGACTACCTGATGTACAGAGATACGTTCGCGGAGAGCTAGGCTACAGCTAGGCTACCCGAAGCATGCAGCCGTCGGCATGTCCCAGCTAGGGCTCCCCAAGACTGGCATCATCATAATGCCGTGCCGTCGGTTAAACACCAGGTTCAACATCCGGAGGGGCACAATACTTCTCCGTAAAGCTGAGTCGATGAGTCGAGGACGCGGAGATGAGACTCCGTAAAAAAAGCATTCTCAAAAATGCACGACGATCTGTACATCCCTTCATTCCTAAGACGTAGGGAGCATCGAGGTTCCGGGCCTCTATGCTGCCACTCCTGAATGGTAGCTGAAACCTCTTCCGAGGTCTGATGCAGCCCCGAACCCTACTTAAGCGCAGGGTTGAGGCTTAAGGGTCTTGTTGTGGGTTTTGGGCAAGCAGTAGGTCAGGATAGGTAAGGGCTCTTGGTATCCCTCCCCCCCCTCTGCGGGCTCCCCCCACATCGGGCGGTATGCGATCCTGGGTTCGCAACCCCCCCGTGCCAAAGACTAAACCCATAGACCCCATGAACGAAATGCATCCCCATGGTTGGTACCGACTACGACCGTACGACCACGAAGACGACGCCGCTGGTTGGTTCATGGCATGCTTGCCGGCCCGCAGAAGCGATGTCGGCATGGCTTGCCAGGATTGGTGGGATCATGTACCTGGCATTGAAATGGGCGTGAGGTCCAGGACATCTTCATCTTGCCCGGGCCTAAGCCCGTTTCATGCAGATTGGCCGAGAATCCTGCTCCCTGTAGGGCAAGCAGCGCCGAGGGCTTGCTGGTGACATGGCTGTGTGTCTGACAACCTGCCGCCACTTTCCTCAGAGAGGTCGAGTTGCCGGCCATGAGCTGCAGGACCCTGGACCAAGGAAATGCTGCTGAGAGTGTCAGCTGGGTCCTCCTCATCCGGAGGATATTGAGACCCATGCACTTCCAAGTGGGTGAGGCGTGGAAACTCATCGAGTGGGTCTCCGAGGAAAAGGGCACCTTGGAAACTGCCCGTGTCAAGCTCCACAACGAGCAGGCGGGTTGTCACTGTCTCAAGCTCCACCTTTGTCACCACCAGCTTCGATGCGAAACTATGTAGAACATTACCAGCCTTCAACTGCCGTGCCTCGGAAACACCTGGCTCGTCAGATGCCCAGCCATCCTGTACGGCGACCCGCTGACTGGCCAAAACGCACACGCAGCTTTCATGGCTGCCATGCTGACAAGTGACCCGGGCAACAGCGCACAGCCTTGACTCCAACTGTTGCAAATTGTTCACAACAAGGCGTGTCGTCGCAGGCCAAGCCAGTAACTCCTGTCCCACAACCAGGTCCATAGCTCGAACCGACCTGGTTGCACTGTCTTGCAGCCCCACTGCGCTGTCCACGTCCAGAAGCAAAATACAGTAAACGGTGCCGTCTGACCAGGAACCCCATTCAGTCGAAGCATACTCCGTAGAGATACCGACGTCGGTGCATGAAACCTCCGACCCAGAATCCACGTCCAGCTCTGCTTCCTCTCGTGTGATCCTGCGACCGCACCAGCAACGCTGCAAGCCCATGCAACTTTCGCACACCGACAGATTGTGTGGACATCCTCTCCACGTGTGCTTTGCATCTGCCATGCAGAAGAAGCAAGCTTCATACATGAAGCAGCCATGCACATGATCCCATTGCCGCTGAGTTCGTCGAATTTCAAGACAAACACCAAATCCGCTCAAGGCTTTAATGTCGCAGGCCAAAGACCTGGTCCTGCTGAGCCTGGTGCGCAGTTCGGATTGGTGCACACAACAGCAAACGCCAATTCTGAAAGGCAAGTCGTAGCAGCAGAAGGAGCAGGAGCAGGAGTAGCAATCATAGCTGGGCTTGTTGTAGGAGATAGGAATCCTACTACAAAGAAGCGGAGACAACCGGTCATGGGAATATTGGTGGTATGTAGTGATGACAATTAGGAAAAACAAGGGCAGTCTCAGTAGCAGCTTCAACAGCAGCAGCAGCAGCAGCAGGCGGCAGCAGCAGCAGCAGCAGCAGCAGCAGCAGCAGCAGCAGCAGCAGCAGCAGCAGGAGCAGCAGCAGTAGCTACCAACTTCCGCAAGTCTTCCATGTGCCGCCCTGGCCGGCGGAGCCCTTTTTGAAACAACTCAGTCTGCATGGTCATTTATCATCCTAGCCAACGACACGAGCTTACACAACCAATTTCAAGTACGGTCTGGAAGCAGAAAGCTGAGGGGCGTGCGCGCCAGGTTCGGTCCAAACGGCCTCCTCGTCACCTCTCAAGGCTTGTTTTTAGATGCTCGTGTTTTTCCTCCCATGGCGTTAGGGCTTAGAAAGGTTGAGGGGGTCTAGGGCTCTAGGGTGTTGGGTTGCGGGCTTGGTGGCTTTTATCTTTGAGGGCTAAGGGCTGCCCGTCCCGTGCCACAGAGCAACTGGGCCAACCGTTGATGCAGGTCTACAAGTGCGTGGTTTCGTGCGGTAGATTGACAGAACCCATGAGCCCAATACTGAGTCCGGCATTGGACGCTGTTTGAGAAAAAACTTGCACCCATGCTGGACAAGAGTAAGACTTGGATCCTCTGAGACAGCTGTCTCGGGCTTCAGGCTTGCATCGGAGCCATCAGGCTGCATGAAAGGACTTGGCTTCTGCCTGATTGCTCAGCACAAGGCGCCATCCCCCACTCCAGAAACAGGTCAAGGGTTCCTAAAGCATCATACTCCAAGAAATGCGTCCTTTCTTTTTGAGCCGCCCCAAGCCTGCGAAGCAGGTTTTTCAGGAAGTCACGCGTTTCGCCAGGCAGCGGGGTCTCTACAACCCACTTGCGCAGATCAACAAAATACTCCAGCTGCCACGCATACTTCTCCCTGGTGTCCTCCCGCTTCGGTAAGCTCCAGGGTGGGTGCAGTGGCAACCAGCAGGGCTTATGCCCCAGGCATTCCAACTGTGTCAGAATGTCAGTAGGGAACAGAAAACAACCAGTAAGCCGGCCGTCATCCAGGAGTGACACCACGAGAAGGTCAAAGTCAGTTTTTGCATAGGGAAGTTTGCCAAGTACCCCCCCATACTTCCAGAGACCTGCTGCGTATCTGCGGTGCGTGTGACCAGTTGACGCTTTTTCCTGAACGCACCACCTGCAACCTTCACCAAAGAGGACAGAGTCTACGGTTTGGAAGCCTGTGAACGACTTCTCAAGCTGATAGCTGGCACAATGGAACACAGTGGCCAACAGAGTATGGGCCTGCTCTTCAACCTGGTGGCAGGGACTGCACTTCAAGCGAGCGTCTGCAAGCGAGATGTGAGGAAAGTCGTGTCTGTTACGAAAGCAGCTCGCCAACAAGGAGCCGACATCTTCTACCTGAAAAGCCAGATCCCTGCTTGAACCCGGTCTTATGAAGAAGCTTGTGTGTGTCACGCATGCTCCCGGCAAGGCCCATAACGCATTGCTGTCCAGGGCGACCAGTACTAGCAGCATGCCGGCGTACCCACAAGTCTGAGAGAACGCATATCCATTCTTTTTCTGACTATAACGGGACGACTTCAAGGCAAGCCCACCAGTTAGAGAGCCTCGGCGCTGGAAGAGCGCATCTACCTTGGAGGAGTCTGATACTCGGACGATCTCGTAGCTCTCTGCATGCGGCGACAAAACGAAAAGGCGCCGCAATCGATCAAAGGACTCGTCCTCCTTGCTGGCATTTTCGGAATATTTTGCAAGGGCACAGCGCCGTGATTCATGCCACACCTCGGTAGAGGCTTCAAAAGATGCTTCCAGCGGAGTGGGAAAGTTCAGCGATCGGCTTAGTCGAGCTCCATCATCGCACAAAGCTCGAAGATAAGCATCGTATGCATGTGCCGCCTCCCGCTCCTTCCGAAACAAACCCGCATGCGTTCGCTGCCCCCTCAAGCTGACTTGCGCTTGAAATTTCCCAACTCCCTTGTTCCAGTAGACCCCGTTGTATTGGCTCGAGGCCCAGCGGCGCAAGCCCAGTCCAGGCAGCAGCAAGGCGTTCTGGCCAAGCATATGGACATCAAGCCCCAGCATCCGTTGCACCACCCATCTGCGAACATACGCGGTGTCCATTGAACCCAACATGATCGCTACCCAGAATGCAAGAGCCCACACATGTCCCCACCATGCAAAACTTGCTGCCAAATATGACAAACAAGCGGCCATCCGAGATTGAACGATGCATACCCACATTGTCTTAAGCCTGTTTCAACATCCGGAGGGATTTGAGCCGTTCCCGTGCTTTTCCTCTTGTGCGGTGAGGATGTTGGCAGGGACTTAGAGTTGCTCGTCATTGGCTTCAGAGGCTGACCATGAAACCGACAAACCTCCTGAACTCCTCTGAAGCTCAACAACGCCGACGACTGTCATGATTGCAGTCCCCACGCTCACAGTCCGCAAGATGGCTCTTGTTACTCACACGTGTAAAGTCAAAGAAGAAAGCAAGCTCCCAAGGGTTAAGGACTTGTGGGACCTCAGTAGGGATTGCCTGTAGGATTCAAAAGTGCTGAACGCCGCTTCGCGACTTTCAAACGACATCTCAGAGATTTAAGCTTTACAGGGTGAATGCGAAGCTCCGCCACGGGCAAGGGTTACAAGCCCGCATGTTCTGCTACTTGACCTTGCACATGAAATTTCCCACAGGCCTGTTCCCATTGCGCAACAAATCTTCTGCTGATGCGCCGATGACGATTGCAGCTACATGACGGACTACCCAGCTTCCATTCCTAGCGTCTATAAGAACGCACGACCGTGCGGAAGGAGGGCACAAGTCTAAAAACGCGACACGGCTTGACTGCTTTGCGTTTGGGACTTGTGGGGCACCCCTGCACTGGGCTCAAAACAAAGCAATCAACAGAAACTGGGCAGGGGACGGCTCACGCGATATGGGGCTTCAATCACAATGCGGGGCGAGACTGCAAATGATACGAGTCATGCATGGCTCTACATCCAGAGCTTGGGTTGCTTGCAGGTGCCTACGAAATTCGGCCCCTGAAGCCTGAATTCGTCCCTGAATACGAAATTCGGCCCCTGAAGCCTAAATTTGGCCCCTGAAGCCTAAATTCGGCCTCGAAGAGGAATTTCGGCCTCGAAGATGAAATTCGGCCCCGAAGACGAATTCTGCCCCCAATTTCATCTTCAGTGCCGAATCTCGTCTTCAGGGGCCGAATGTGGTCTTCCAGGCCGAATTTCGGTTTCAGGACCGAATCTCGTCTTCAGGGGCCGAATTTGGATCGAATTTCCTCTTCGGGGCCGATTTGGGGCCGAACTTAGACTTCAGGGTCCGAATTTCGTCTTCAGAGACGAAATCAGGCTTCAGGGGCCGAATTTCGTCTTCAGTGCCGAATTTCGTCTTCGGGGCCGAACTTCTCGTCTTCGGGGCCAAATGTCGTCTTCAAATCTCGTCTTCGGATTTCGTCTTCGCCCCCCCCCCCGGAAAAGGGGACCCAGTTTCGCGGGTCAATGCGCAAAAGAACGATCCGATGCTTCAACATGTAGCTGTCTCAAATCGCATGAAGGCTTATAGAGTCCGGGCTTATGGAAAGATGAGGGAGGCTGCTTCCAGGCAGCGCATCACTTTCTTCTGACATGCTGTACGCTTAAGAAGCAAGTCATCCAAGATGCTGCGCAATTATCTTGGTGCCGAGTTCTCTGCATCCCTGTGCAGATCAGCAAAGTATTCCAGCTGCCAAGCATACTTCACCCTCGTGCGCTCCCGCTTCGGCAATCTCCAGATTGGACGCAATCGTTCGTTTCCTTCAGCAACTGCTTGCGTGGTCCTGAGGCCTGGGGGGGCAGATGGGGGTAGGCTAGGGTGACGCTAAGGATCCTCAGCTCCACACGGAGCCAAGGCGGCATGCGCGTCAGCAAGCGTTGAGGCATCACAGCGCTTCTTTGGGTGCAGGCACCTGCACTCCAAATCTTCATGGCTCGTTTCATGCTTCATCACCAGCTGCAGTCGGGCGCTGGGCCAGAAACTACTCAGTTTCAATACCCTTCACAAGAGAACCTCACAATTGTGATACCTTCCGTTCTCTTCCAGTCTTGTGGTGCTATTATACCAAAGGGCTAGGAGTGACTCAAGGCGGAGTTTTCTCCGACGTGGGCGCCAAGTTATCGCTGCTGATTGCTGCCCTGTGGCAGTGAGACGAGAGAAACTGGGCTGAAAACAAGACTCCCAAACCATGAACCAACCATTTGGGTTTAGGGTTTAGGGTTTAGGGTTTAGGGTTTAAGGCTTAGGGCTTAGGGCTTAGGGTTTAGGGTTTAGGGTTTAGGGTTTAGGGTTTAGGGTTTAGGGTTTAGGGTTTAGGGTTTAGGGTTTAGGGTTTAGGGTTTAGGGTGCGAGCCCTGGGAGCACCTTACAATCTCCAGCCGTCCTTAAAGTCTGCTTTTACCGCCACAGCGCATGCGCAAAGTGCAACTGGAGGTATCAGCCCATCCCGCAGAGCTTACTCATATTTCTTCCTGGACATGACCCGATGCTTTTCCTACATGGGGGTTCACGAAAATTGGGACCCCAATTAGTATAGACCCCCCAATAGTAGGATTCCCTTATTAAAAAGGACCCCAATAAGGCACCCCCTAATTTCGGAGGAAACCCCCCAACCCTTGTGAGAAGGACCCCAATAAAGTACCCTCTAACTTCGGAAACACCCACATGTGAGGGTGAACCTTCGCCCCTTGAGTCAGAACCCGCAGCGGGCACAGGCGCGCCAGAATGGGTCGGCCACTGCTCGCGCACCATAGAAGGGCAGGTCCGAGGTGAAGCGATGGACAGAAATTAGCCTCGATCTTTAGGGTTTAGGGTTTAGGGTTTAGGGTCAACTGACACAAGACGACGCGGCAGGCGAAAGTGCGAAAGCTTGCTGAACATTGCCGAACACAAGTTCTAAATTGCTACATACATGCCACGGCACCGACACCCCTGCTGAATTGCCTCCACTATGGCATCCTGCAAGGCACGCTCAGCACATGCTCTTCGTTTCGTGTCGAGTCATATCTCTGCACATCTCTGCATCTCTCAGCCTGAGGCACTCATAATGCAAATGGCAGGTCCTCGATGTCCTTGGGGTCTGAGATCGTGCCGGACCCACAGACCCTTCCCATCACGATGCCGCGCTTGGCTGCCTCTTGGAAGAGCTGGTTCCTGACTCAACGCATCCGGCCATACCCTGCACATGTCGGGCGTGTCCTAGCTACAGCCAAGCTTCATCCCAGAAGCCATATTCGGATGAACGCCGTCACGCATCACGGCATCAAAAGGCCCGACAAAGCCCACGGCTTTTCCTGCCAAGGACACGCACCCGAACTGCTGGATCGGAGATCTGGAACTTAAGCCCACTCGGACACGATAAGTCAAGGCCCTAAAACCCTCTGAATAACATTCCTGAACCCAAGAAGGGAAAATGAACATGTCTCAAGGGCCTACCAAGTAAGGAACTGACATATTTTATTCAAGAACCACTATGCCAAGCTCGCCTGGACCTTGACGACTCATCAGGTCAAGAACAGGGTCGCGGATCTCCGCCTTGGTAGTAAGAAAGAAAGGGCTATCTGCTGAATCTACGTAACACGAGATCATATCCTTCAAGACAGCAGAATCAGCAGAAGAGCGCAGCATTTTACAGGCGAATGGTGCAGTGCAGGGGGTTCGTGCGTTTCTCTGTCTGCTGCGCCTGAGGCCAGCCCTGTTTGCCTATAGTTCGTGTTGTCTGTTGGGCGCCAAGTAGTCAAGCCCTAAGGGCACCTTAAAGCCCTTTGAAACCCGGGATCAGGAGCTTGCAGCCACAGGCGGTTGGCACAAGAGGAGGAAAGGCCACAAACGGCTTCTTAAGTCAGGCAAAGCCGCGTTCAAGATGTACTCGCTCGTCTCAAACTGCAGCCATCCCTGCGTTTCGCTCTCCGACGCCCGGAGACTGTCTGGGGTGAAGCAGAGCTCACGGTCGCCGAGCCGTGTGGGGTATCCACCCCGTGAGTCCTGGGATGCAGTACCTGGACGGCCAGGAGGGAAGGTCATGGCTTGGAAGTACTGGTCGGCCTCGGCAACCGTCGTGGCGTAAGGGCGCATCGTCGCGCGGGCCCCCACCTGGAGGGCGTCGCCGTGCTGCGACACGGCTTCGCGGTGAAGTCTCTGCACAGGCAGCATGCCGCTTCTTGCGATCATCGCATTCTCCTCTCGGCCCTGCCACCCTGAAATTTGCCGATGTTCTGCATCTGACACAATGAAGGAGAATCCCGAGCGAGCCCAAGCTACGACCTCATCCTCGCGCATCTTGTGGGTGGGGATGTCATTGAAGATTCCGAGCAGGGGCGGCATCTCCAAGACAGACGCTGAGGCATCGTAGACTTGCTTCACAGGATTGCGAAGGGGATCCAGCGTGTACAGGTACGCACGCTTGGCGAGCTCTTGCACCGGAACCGGGAGTTCTCCGCCAACAACCGACAAGGCGGTCTTGCCAACCTCGCGAGCCAAAGCAGGAGCCGGGGCCGGTCGCACCAAGTATCCATCCACCTTTGCACCCTCTTTCTGGGTGTCCGGCTCGCGCGATGCCATGAGGTGAATGTGCAAAATTCTACCGAGATCTACACAACAGGGCCGCGTTCGGACAAGGCTACTCACTATGGCGTGTAACCCTATAGCATGGCCCTGAAACACCGGAAATCAGCAAACAAAAAACTATCGCTGCTAGGCGATGCGGTGATGCAGCTTGTTTCACACGTCCGAGACTTTGAGATGCTGACATCCACAGGCATTCAGAAGGGTTTCGGGTTTAGGGTTTAGGGTTTGGGGGTTTGGGGTTTGGGGCTTGAGGTTTAGGGGGCTTTCACTGGCTTCCACTGCACTATGTCCCGGGAGGACCATAAGGTGAAAGCGTGCGCCTGCGATGCCGCAAGGAGGATATGCCTGACTTGAGACCGGATCGGGTGGATCGGTTTAGAGCCTTCAGGGGTACGTCAGAATTGTTCAGCTTCCTGTACATCAGAAATCTTCAAGAGAAAGAGCAGGCTCAGCCGAACACGAGACCTCGCTGCAAAGCTTGCTCCAGTTTTTAAGAACATGATGAGTCCATTGGGCCGGAGGGGGACTTCGTCCTAGCATGGACCATCCTGAGTACATCGTGTAACTTCAAAGCGCCGCAAAGCACGAGGAGAGAGGTAGATGCGGTTGCCAACACCCTGGCTGTCTTGTTCCAACATGCACACCTCTCTAGAGCCCTCTACAGCAAGGAAAACCAACTCGATGAAACTAGTAAACCCGTCCCGGGATCTCCCGACACGTAACACCATTCGGCATGAGGCAAAACCATAATGAAACCCGTTTCCCGTACAAATCACACATTGTCATACATCTTCTACATGCCCGCAATCTCCGAAACCCCGCCCTGAGAAACCATAATTAAGGCCTGCCCAGGCCGTTGGCCCCCTCACCCCAAGCTGCAGGCACCATGGCAATCTTGCCAGTAGGGAGCGATATGGGTGGTTCTAAATGAGGCCCCTTTCTGCACCCTGAAAAAAGGACCCCACGAGGGACCCACAATGTAGAGAACTTATAGACTGTTTGCATGGCCTCTCATTGATCTCTTGGGGCACAATATCTAGCCATAGCCTTTCGGTAGAAGGGGTCTCAGAGTCCCTACATACAACAGGGAATCCGCGCAGACTGGCACCACCCAAAACAAACATTGCACGGTTTACAGGGCCCAGCCACCAAGAAACGGTGAAGTTCGATGCAAAGCCAGACACTATGCCTACTGCAGGGCTTGGGTGAGTCGCTGTCCGATATTTGTTCCGGCGCTCCCGCACTGCTTGAGCCTGCATCCTGCGTGGCAAGCAGCGCATTCGACGTCAGATTATCACGGGACCCTCGGATACAAGCATGAGTCAGTAGGCCGGGCCTAAACCCTAAACCCTCATTAGGCACGCTTGGGGCGTGCTCGGAGAGGCGTTCAGGGCTTCAATGTGGGGTCTTTTCTCAGGGGGGGAGGGCTTCGTCCTTGTTTGGGGTTTAGGGTTAGCAGTTAGGGTTGCGGGGTTAGGGTATTGTGGTCCAACAGACGCCCAGAGCCCTTTCATTTCGATCACCCTCAAAGGTGCCTCCCATGCAGGTGACGAGTGCAGTGCGACAAGTGCTTCGGGACCCTGGATACTTTGATTTTTCGTGCTTGCAGCAGATGCAAGTTCGCTGTGCGCATGTGCTCTCTTAGAAAAAAACATATCCCCAAAAAAGCAAAACAGAACAAAAAACGCAGCAGACTGTCCCATAGCACCAGCATCAAAGAGCTAGGAGCACACACGGGGTCATTAGCATGGTGCCGGCCGCAGCAGGCATGGTGCGGAAGTCTACCGAAGCAAGCTCCCACGCAGGTGTTAACTGACCCCAGGACCGACACCCGCTTGCGGTTTCGGGTTTAGGGTTTAGGTTCTAGGGTTCTTCATTTGGTCTAGGGCTTAGGGCTTAGGGCTGACGGTTTAGTTAGGGTTTAGGGCGATCTCCACTAAGTTACAGATGTTCTCGTTATGTTACTTTCTCATTTTGGGCCCTGTCACTGTACCAGTAAGGCATCTCTGTCAGTCCCAGGGTGGACTTGTGTACAAGGCTTGACCACTCAGTGGCGCCCGACAAAGAAAGGATTTACAAACAGTTGATGAGAGCCTGAAAGAGTAGCTGACCTGGTTTTCAGGCTTCGCCTCACAGGGTTTAGGGTGTTTCTTCCCTCCTTGGGGCAAGTCCAGGTTTAGGGTTCAGGGTTGAAGGTTTAGGGTTCAGGGCTTGAAGTTCGTGGTTGAGGGTTTAGGGCCTCCGGCATTACCCTGAATAATACGGCCATCTGAAAGAGACTCCGCGTCACACAAGCCCCCTGGGTCAGAGCGCGCCAGTTCACAGCCTGTCGTGAAAGGACCAGCACTTCATCACAACATACCATATCGCAGCAGAGACTCAGAGACTCATTGCGCGACAACCAAAGTTGTACCATTGTTTGCGTGTCCCTTGTAGGGCCTCCAGAAGCATCACAAGCGAATGTTAACACAAAGACAATTATAACACTCTTTTGAATCAGGACTCTCTGACATGCCTGGCTGTTTATATACCCTAACCTAAACTTAAACGCCTTTTCGCTTCCCTTCTTTTCCCTTACGTTAAACCCTGTTGAAACCCTTTTTGCATCCAGGCCTCTTCGAACACTGATGGGCAAGAACATACATACACACTCCCAGGTAAGAGCATGCAAACACGCAATCTCGGGCACAGTACTGTGCCGACTTACATCCGCGCCTCGGAACCCCTAAACTCAGCCAGGGCGCAGCTGCACCCGCCGCGTCTGCGCCCGGCGCTGGTCCAAACGTCGACTGAGGGCCTGGGGCACGTGGGCTCTTGAGGTTTGGGGTTTAGGGTTTATAGGGCTTGGGGCTTAGGGTTTAGGGTTTACGGTTTTGGCATAGGCTTGCGGGGTTCTATAGGGTTTTGGGGTTTCATTTGTGGGTTGCTGGGACAGGGTTCAGAGCCATCAGGTTTGGGGGGCACAAGCACTCCTCTGCACCTGACCCCGAGATCCTTGACCCACATGGGGGATTCCGAAATTCGGGGTACCTTTTTGGGGTCCTTATGATAAAAGAAGAATACTATTTGGGGATATTTTCGGAAACTCCCACATCGTGTGGGAAGGCAACTGCTTCTTCGCTGCCTCCAGTCGTTGGGCCTCACCTCAGGATGTGTCGTAACAGGCTTCAAATTTCAGAATTGAGATGCAGCTTCTTGAGCTGAGGGCTTGGAGGGCTTGCAGGGCTTGCTTAGAGCGAAGCTGGTCGGAGTCGAGACTCAGGGCTACGGGAACCTGAACCTCTCCAAGCTAACTCTCCCCCATGACAGCTCGTCTTGTGCGAGAAGGCCGCAGCCCGCCGAGAATGCTGGACAACCTAGCTTGGCCTATGCGCACTTGGGAAGCCTGGCAGTTCCACTGATGACATCCAAGGCTGCCGCTGTATCCACGGCAGCAAGTTAGACACTAGACGAATAGAGTTCAGCATGGCGGGCGCCACAACAGCCCCACCACACCGGAATAGGTACACACAGTTCCTACCGAGCGCTTCAACATGGCTCTCGATTGTTCAACATGTTCTCCCTAGTTGCTGAGTACCCTGGGCCAACAAAGGTTACCCTTTCAATTATAGTAGGATATACATACACACATAAATATATACACCCCCAAAGGTGAAAGGTTACCTGCTCTGCTACTTCGTCTCTTGAACAACAAGAAAGACCAAGGTGCGCAGACGGATGTCGGTGCTCGCATCGCCAGCTTCGGAGCTCGCGGCCGGCGACTGGCCGCCGGACGGCCTTCGCATGCGCGCGCGTGCGCGCGCATGAAGGTCCCCCCCAACAGAGGCCTACCGCAGCTGCCCCGCAACTTTCGGGCCTTTAGCCAAAGAAGCACCCCCGGTCAAAAAAGGACACCCCCAAGTCCTTCCCTCCCTCCACCGTGCCTGGTCTGCTTGGCCTTGGAGAGCGCATCCCCCAAAGCGCCCAGCAGCGCCACCTCCGCCTGATAAGAAGCGGGAGTTTGGCTTAGGTTCCACTCCCTCATGATTTTGGTTCAGAATGGGGGAGTCTCAGGCTAGAGGGTGGGGCCTTGCCCACATCTTGCACGTCATCTCCGGCGTAGATGGACTGGGACTCCGACGCCTGGTCATCGAGCCTCGATGGAAGCTCTGACAGCAAGCATCCATAACAACCCTAAACCCTAAAGCCTGAACCCTAACAGCCAACCCCCCAAGCAAAGGGACCCTGAAGTGAGACACTGCTGGAGTTGTAAGCTGATGTGCACCAAAGAGATGCTCTCCACCTTCCACATTGCGCCAAGCAGCGACCGCTTCTGCCCCGTGCCGCGCCCTGCCAGGTTCTTCACCCCTGAGAGGCTCTTCCGAACATCCTGGGATGGCTCAGGGGCTTCACCTGTAGTAGAGCAAATGAGGAGTCGAGGAGGCACAGGACTCGAGCTCTAGAGGCGACACATGTTCAACCTTGGAACTCAACACCTCGGAAGAACACGGACGTGTGAACAGCCGTTTTCCCCTGTAAGGTCAGAAACCGAATCCTCACATCATGAAGTCATGAGAGTACAAAGCAAAAAGAAGGCGCGAGATGCGGAACAAGAAGCCAGGGACGGCAAGCGAGCATACTTTGCAAGGCCATCCAGTTCGTTCATTACCTGAGCTGTGGGCCCAACTCTGCAACTCGAACGGTGATGGTGGCAGACTTGCTGCCTCGAAAGCCTTGTGATGTGGATGTTGCTAGTCGAGCAGAAGCATAGGCGGGCAGCTATCCCCAGCATTCAGCACCCTCGTAGAACGTAGGCTGTCAAAGGTAAGCGCAGCACATGAAAGGAGACGAGCAAGGTGGAGGTGTGGGATTAAGGGGCTGGCATAAACTGCGTCGGTCGTCACCCTTCGCAAGGCTGAATTTCAGTTCTTTTCCCATGGCATGCCGCAAGCCTGTCCAGAAGATGTTCGAGGCAGGAGCGCGCATCATCGGACAGGGGGCCCTCGCCATCCCAGGCGCGCAGATCGACGAAATACTCCAGCTGCCAGGCATGTTTCAATCTGATGGCCTCTCGTTTTGCCAGGTTCCAAGGCGGGTACAAAATCAACTTCACGGGCTTCTGGCCGACAGCTCCGAGTCTTGACAGCACCTCGATGGGAAAGACGAAGAGCCCCGCCAAGCGCCCGTTGTCCAGGACCGAAGCCAACAGCAGATCGAAATCATTGTCCGTGTATGCAATGCGCCCGAGCGCCCCTCCGTGCTTAGAAAGATTTGCTGCGTAAGTGCCGCAGCGTCGGAGATTGGATGCTTTCTCCTGCACGCGCCATTCCAATCCTTGGCCGGCGAGCACGGAATCCACCGCAGCACTGTTTGGAAACGATCTCCGAAGCTGAAAGCTTCCTGTAGAAAGCAGCCTTGCCAGAAGCAGGTGTGCTTGCACTTCGACTCGATGGAAACAACTGCACTGCTGCAATGCTTCCTCCAGGGTGATCGAGGGAAAGTCCGTGGACCTGCTGCAGCATGTCTCTAACAGAAGACCAAGGTTCTGCACCCGCCACGACGAATCTCTGGCCGAGCCCAATGTCACGCTCAGCGATGACCGTGTCACCACATTTCCCGGCACAGCCCAGAACATGTCACGATCCAGAGCGACCAGCACTAGGAGCATTCCGTGATATCCTCTTGCTTTGTTGAACTTGTAAGTCTTGAAAGTGTTCCCACGGCAGCTCGCCGATTTCAGCTGCAGGGGAACGCCTCCAGCGCAAGAGGCTTTAGCCTCTACAAGAGCATCTATGTGAGAAGATCCTGATACGCGAGTAATGGTATATGTCAATGCCTGAGGTGACCTGAGGAAACATCTTTGCAAGCGTTCAAACGACTCCTCTTCCTTCCTGCCAGTTTGCCCATATCGTGACAATCCACGAGTCCGTGCCTCCAGTCGGCTTTCTGTAAATGATGCTTCTGCCAAAGTGGGAAAGTTCAGAGACCGTTTCAAGCGAGCCCTGTCCGCACACATAGCTCTGAGGCCTGCGTCGCAGGCCTGCGCAGCCTCGACCTCCGACACAAAAGAGCCCACATGGTGTTGCCGGTTATCCAAGCAGAAACGCGCGCGGTATTTGCCAGCGCTCTTGTTCCAGCAAACGCCGTTGAACTGGCTTGACGACCAGCGATACAGACCTTGACCCGGCAGCACAGAAGACAGCCGCAAGCCGAGGCCTACTAAGTCTCTGCCAGGGGCTGGGAGGCAAGCAAGGGGTGTCCGCAGCATGGCCAAACTGCCGACAGAAGTACGCGCGTGCATGAAATCGATACCATGCCAGAGCCAAGTGCGGCGTGCGAGATGCATGTGAACGTTGATTTGCAGGAATGTGGCACAAGAAAACGGTACATGACAGCTTGCTCACTCGACATCAGGCCAGGCTCCGGCTTTGACATGAAATGCCCCCGACAAGCCTGCAAACAGCGATCGGGACGTGCGATTTTACGAGCACCTCCTATGCTGGGCGGGGGTCTGATGAGCCTTGCACCCACTCAACTCAGCAGAGCGGCCGACAAAGGGCTTCCCCCCTGACGCGAGCGGCTTCGGGCCGACACAGCTTCCTCCCAGGCAAAGGACACCTGAGTTGACCAGGGCACTGTGATTTGGCAGAGTCCCTCGGCAAACCCTATGACACTGTTGCACCATGATGGGCTGACTAAGGCGACCTTCCTAGCTCGAAGGAAACATATGCTCACGACTGTACCCCTCAACAGACAGGCCACGCGTTCCGGGGGAGCTTCGCCGCACCTTGCCAGCTGAGCGACATCTTTACCATATTCATGTCTTGAAAGTTCCCCTTAATTATACCAACAGTCCTTAATAGGGATTCTAGCAAGGGTCTTTACTAAGGACTGTTAGTATAAGGGGGAACATCCCAATTCATGACAGTCAGTACGCACGCAACACCCCCTGCAACTTCCCGTGTTCTCCTGCTCTTCTGGTAATGAATTTCGGGGATCCAAGCCGCATCCGCAATGCACGTGCAAAGTCGGTTTTGGCCACAGGCTTTCGAATCCTCAGGAGGGGCAGAGGAGGTTGGGGGGCGGTCCTAGTTTGCAGCTTCTGTTGCTCGGCACCCTCCCTGCTTGCCATCCAAACCACCATGTCCCGCGACCCTTACTGCTGGTTAGTAGGGAATGTGGAGATAGGGTTCATAAAAAACCCCTGTGTCTCGAGCTCCCCGAGCCTTGGCTGCTTCGCCGGCCGCTGCACCTCCAGCTCCACCTCCCCGAAGACCTGAATCCAGGACTCAGGTGGCCAAACAAGTAAGGTTGGCATGGGTTTCCCTACTACCCCGCTCTATACTATTTTTAGGGTTTAGGGTTTTTTGGGTGTTTAGGGTTTGTCTTTGAAAACACAAAGGCTGCCTTGCGTTGCATCCCCAGCCTCTCTTGGGTCTGAGGCATCTGGCATTGAAGATGTTCTTGCTTTATCCTAAACCCTAAACCCTAAACCCCAAACCCTAAACCCTAAACCTAAACCCTAGCCCCTAAACCCTAAACCCTAAACCCCAAACCCCCTTTCCCTTTGCCAATGTGGGCCTCCTCCAGGATGCCGGAGCTGGTGCCCAAGCTCTTGGTCAGTTGCCGGCGCTGCTTCCGAGCCCTGCGCACGAAGCGGCGCACTTGGGAGGTGGGGCCCTTTTGGGTTTTAGGGTTGAGGGTTTAGGGTTTAGGGTTTAGGCTTTAGGGTTTCGGGTTAAGGTTTTAGGTTGTTTTTTTAGGGTTTACGGATGAGGCCAGGCGACTTGGGACGTGGCTTACGGGCGTAAGGGTTTCGACTCTAACACTGGAAATCGCGGCCGAGGCTTGAGGGCTTAAGGGAGGTAGGGCCCTTTTGGGCTTTAGGGTTTAGGGATTTAGGATTGGGTTTAAGGTTTAGGGTTTAGGGTTTAGGGTTTTAGGGTTTCTTGCCCTTGGGGCTTTCTTTGCTCTAGTTGCAGGCTCAGCCGGCCTTCTCTCCAGGCGGGGGTCATCGAGGTCATCGATCCAGCCGCCCTCGCTCTGATCGCTGCCTTGGCGCAAGAGGTGAGAGAAGTGCCCGGGAAGCTCCAACCGCTTTATGCACCTCATCCTTGTAGCTTGAGGTCGTGACCCTCACTAGCCTCCCGCATGCGATGCCATGTTTGACCCCTTTCACCCCTCCGGGGCAGGCGAGGCACTTGCCTGGGATCTTGTGTCCAAGGCCTGCTCGGCATCGGCCTCCTTTCACGCGAGTTCGACATTCCTAAACCTCGGGTGCACCTCATAATGAGCATAGAATCATGAAGAGGCTTTTAGCTTGCCAGCGCAGTTCCGTGTTCCGACTGGCAACTGCTTCTTGCGGTCCTTCGCGTCTGTGGCGAAGGACACCTGGCCTCAAGCGCATCAAATCTCAGTTCTTCGGATCGCAGGCATCGACCCTGCGTCTGGGAACGAAACAAGGAAACATGAGCCGGAAGGGCCTCTTCTTTCTGCAGCAGCTGGGACATCCTTCGTGTCCTGCGAAGCTCGCCTTGCAGGAGCAAGCTCGGGGGCATGCGGGGTCTTCGACTTCCCTCGCTTTGTCGGTTCCTGAAGCCGGTACGCTTCCTTTGAAGTGGCAAGTATGAGTTTAAGATCTGTGCCCGATGTTGAAGATGGTAGGGATAGAGACTGACTGCTTCTTCAGCTTCACAAAAGAATCATTGCAGTGGGGAGCGCTGCTCCAACCCAACATATCTTTGCCCTTCAAGCCCCAAGCCGACCCAATGCCAGCCCCAATAGCCCTCATCAAACCTATCATAACCTTCACAAATCCTCAAATCCTAACAAAGCTGAAACTTTTCTGAGCCCTGGCACCACTTTTAAGCTAGACCCTTCTTCCACCTTCATTCTGCCCGAAAGTACACAGAAAAAGATCCTGCTGCTGACCTCAGGTTCTGCTCCGTCAGGGGCAGGATGGCGGGCTGGCCTCGCCAACCCGACAGCTTCTTGATGCTTTCGGCAGGCGGCTTGAGAATGGTTTGGGCTTTTGAAGATATTTCGAGTAGCCTTTTACTTCATCTTAATGAATATATTGTCAGTTTACGTATTTTATTCCAATGACATCTGGGGTTTAGGGGTTTCAGGACTCATGGTGCATGTAGGGCTCCAGCAACTTTGCATGCCAAGACCATCCAAAAAACGTTGCGCCTTTGGGCGTAGCCGAGGTTGGAGATTCCAGGTCCAAACCCAGGTGACTCACTGGCAGCTGCGGATCCTTGGTCGCCTTGGATCCCGGATGGTGTGAGATGGTGTGAGGTTTTGGAGAGCTTGGGGCGTGATGGGCTTTGAGGTTTGATGTTTGGGGGTCTCTAGGGCTTTACGGCTAGGGCGCAGTCTAGAGTACGATGTAGTCGCACACAGTATAAAGTGTATAGCAACAACGTATTGTAGTGTACAATGCGGTACAGAACAAGGTAGCACAGCAGAGCACAGCCCAATCAAACATAATTTGGCAAGGAGCTTGCTACATGACACCCCATATTGTTCGGCAGCTTAGCACCTTATGGACAAAGCCCCGAAAACCCTACACACCCACCCTCCACCCTGAAACCCGCGGCTCTTAAAGACCTTCATGGCAAAGCAGTAGTGATTGTCCCATCCTGTATCAATCCATAACCAAAACGGCCCGTTAGGGTCTGCTCAGCATCCCGACATGCTCTTCATAAGCCAAAGGCTGACAAAGTCAAATTCAAAGGAGGCTCCATTGCTCGAGGAGGAGCAGCCTGTGGCGGCTTCGCCTTCTCCGCCTTTGGGGTTCCAGCGTCCTCGAGCTTTTCCTGGGCATGAAGGCTTTCGAGGGTTGTGGGGTTTCAGGGGCACGTTGGGGGGCATGAGCCTGACGGGGCCTTGGGTCTACAAGGCTGTGAGTAGCCGTGTCTCCATCCCCCGACGGATCACGAAGGCAAAGGCCCCGCCATAGCCCTTGCGCGCACCGCCGTCGTCGGAGCTCATGTCTGAGACGCCCTCCAAGTCCTGCGGAGGGTTCAGAGGTGCTTGGGCTTCTGAGCCGCTAACCCCCAAGTCCGATGAAGCCCGACGGTTGCCAAAACCGACGCTGACGCGTATACGAGATGGCCTGTATACGAGTGCGAATCCCAGACAGCGAGGCCTCAATGCCATAGGAGGCCGCCCGCTGCTGTTCCCGAAGGGTCCACCTTCCGCCCCCGCTGGCCTCGGCTTAGTCGGCTACTACTCTAATGTTTGAAGAAGCATGAAGCATGGCCCTTAAGTTGGGGGCCCCCTCACGGTTTGGGGTCGGGATTGCCACGTCTTTTTCTCCCACGCATCATCTCAACAAAACTCCCGGAAACCTCGGCAAAATCTGGAGCGCAGTCCGGGCGACGCTGGAGGCCTGGGAGGCCTTGGACTCGTCGCCCGACGCGCTGCTGCCAGCCGTGGAGCCTTCGCGCGGCAGCCACTCGCCTGGGGTGCGGAGTTTCGGACTCGAAGGATTGGAAGCTCCGCGAACGGAGTCGGGGGTTTCGGGGCTGCTTGGACTTAGTCTCATGGCCACAAACGCAAACAATGGAAGTGTGTGAGATCATACATTCCGAGATTGGAACGCCGAGCCGCGTGGGTTCGTCCGCATCGAGGCCATGACGTCCGCCATCACCTTGCGCTGCGGCCGCGTCAGCGCCTTGCTCCGCGCCACGCGCACGGTGTGCGTGCGCGGGGCGAAGAGCTCGTCCACGCCGCCCTCCGAGGCGTCTTTGGCCAAGGCCGCGGGCTTCTGGCTCTCCGGGCTCGCCTTGGCCTGAACCGTGGGCTCCGGGGCCACCTTCTGGGCCTGGAGCTGCCTCTGGAGCACGAGGCCCAGGGACCTGGGGTGGCAAAACAGCCAGGAACTTAGACTACTGCTCAAGTCACCACGACACAGGGAACCATACATCATGTCATGTACTTTCTGTCCGAAGATCTTTATTGTACCTTCATCTAAGAATCTAAGTTCTCCTTAACAGCCTTAAGAGCAGCCCAGGGGCTGCACCGCGCGCACCGGGTGCTGGATGGCGGCGGCCGCCACCTGCAGCCCCCCGGCCGCGCTGACCTGGGGCCGCAGCTGTGGGTCGCAAGCCAGGTTGTGGAGCAGCCCGCAGCCCTGCTGCTGCAGCTCCTGGCTCTCAGGCTTCGGGGGGGCTCTCCTCTCTTTCAGAAGCGGAACTAAAGACTTTGCAAGCGCGCAAGATCTTTTTTGGGGGGGAGGGTGAAAAAATCACCATCATGACAGTGATCCGCATACCTACTTGTATAGTCCCTATACCTAAACTCCCACCAAATTCCCCAAAAGCTGCCCCCCAGCCCCTCAAAGAAAATCAGTGCCTTGGAAACTGCCTCTCCTGGCTCTGCGGATGCGCCGTCAGCGCCGCCACGGCCATCTCCAAGCCGCCCGCCTCGCAGATGGCCCGCTTGTTCTCCTCGGTTGCGGTTCAGGAACTTAAGCCAGCAGTTGTCAGCTTGTTCTCCTGGGTTGCGGGTAAGGAACTCAAGGTACCAGATATCACTATGAAAGAGTGGGAGTTGTTTGGTGATTTACTATATCTGCCGAATGCCTATATGATATATGATGTGGAAGGCTAGCTTTTCACAGCAACCCAGTCTCCGCCAGCTGCGAGGTCAGGTTGCACAGGGCCGCAACGGCCTCAAGGCAAAAACCCACATAATTCCGTCTGCTAAGCATGAGGATTATTGGGTCATAAGTACCCATGCCCTAAACCCTAAACCCTAAACCCTACACCCTAAACCCTAAACCCTAAACCCAACACCCTCGAGGCCTGCATGTTGACCTCCGCATCGTTCCGGTGCCGCGCCATGGCCTCACAGAGTTGCCGGATGCCGCCCTGGGCCACGATGGAGATCCTGGGATTCGAACAAGCGGGAAAAAAAAACAACACCCTTTCTTAGGGTTTAGAGTTTAGGGTTTGGGGTTTGGGGTTTAGGGATATGATAGGGGTTTTAGGGGGAAATGGGCGTGTTTTTAGGTTTTGGGGGACGGCTGCTTGCTAGGGTTTGGGAGCCAAACGTATGGGGATGTGTGTGGGTGTGGGTGTGTTTTGTGAGGGCTTTGCGGACGACTGCTTTAGACTTTTTGACAGAAGCAGCCGCAAAATGAAGGAGGGCGCCTTAAGTTCTTTAACCCTTTATCCACCTTAGATCCCGCCAAGAAGAATCCTTCAGCCAAACGGTGGCACGGTCCACTGCAACTACGGAATTTACATCCCAGAACCCAGAACTGTTCCCCCTTATACTATCAGTCCTTAATGGGGATGATAACCGGGGCCACTATAATCCCTACTAAAAGACTTTTAGTAGAACCCCAGCCCCCTGAACCCCCAAAAGGAGGCAACCCCAAAACTCTGCGGAAGGCTTGTGGGGCTCTGTGGGCGACATGAAAAAAACAGATCCTACACCCCGCCCTACAAACAGTCCTTCATAGGAGATTCACGTACCCCCTACGATTTATCCCGATTAAGGACTGTTAGTATAAGGGGGAACATCCCAACCCTAAACCCTAAACCCTGAACCCTGAACCCTAAACCCTAAACCTAAACCCGAAAAGGCTCAACCTCAAAGCCCTGCGTTCGGAGGCTCTTGTTCTCTGGAACGCCCAGCGCCAGGCTCCGGAGCACGGCGCAGGCCATGTGGGCGAGCTCGGGCTCGAAGGGGAAGCCCCTCAGGTTTTTTGGTCTTGCGGTTTAGGGTTTAGGGTTTAGGGTTTAGGGTTTAGGGTTTAGGGTTTGGGGTTTGGGGTTTGGGGTTTAGGGTTTAGGGTTTAGGGTTTAGGGTTTAGGGTTGAGGGTTTCGGAAGGAGGTAAGGGACCATATTAAGGGCCCATGAAACTACCCTTAGGCTTTTTGGTGTTTTTTAAAGCCACCTAGCTGACACGCAGGGGGCATGGCAGCTCCTTACAGGTTGTAGGGTTGCAGCAAAGGCCCAAAGACCCGAACCCCATATGGCCTAAACAGCCTTAAACTCCCCCCCCCCCCCCAAAAAAAGAAAAAAAAAAAAACAACAACAACGCTAGCAACCTTCAATTCTGGAGCCGCTTTCCTCAATCCTCATCCCTTAAACCGAGTGAGGAGGCTTCAAGGCGCCAATGACGGCCCGGATGGAGCCGGCGCGGGCCGCTCGCACCTCAGGAGTTGCCAACCTCTACAAGCTCCGATAAGCCGAAGCCATGCCCAAACCCTAAGTCCTTTTTTGAACTCAGTACTGAGCCCCAAATCCTGGAACCCTAAACCCTTCGGAACTTTTAACTCTGAAGCCGGATTTTAAGCCCTCTACCTAGAGGTGTCTCGACTCAGTGTCTGGAAAGGGGGGTACAGGCACGTTGCACTCGCTCCCAAACCCAGCGCGCGCCTTGGTGTCGTGCCGGTTGGCCATGAGGTTGCACAGCGCAGCGCAGCCGTTCTCCTCAGGTGGCGCGGGGGCTCGGGTTGGGAAAGCTCTTGGGTGTTCGACTGATTTTTTATTGAGCTCGGGTCAGGGTTCGGAAATCCACACCACAATTCCATTCTTGTGCAAACGACCTGGCGCTCTTGGCCCTCAGCAGCTGTTCCTTACGAAAGGCCCTATCATGTCGAGGCTCCTGAATCTCCAGGTCGTCGGGATACCCCAGCATGCTCTTCACCAGGAGCTCGATGCCCCCGGACTTCGTGATCATGCGGCGGTTGATGCCCCGCCTCGGGATGCCGATTCCTCGTGTGACCTCCACCCTACAGTCGGCCTCCAGCATCCAGCTATCTGACGCTCGATGGTGCGTTCTAGTCGACAAGGCGTATTCCGGGCCCGAGTCAACAGGGCCAATACTTCCGAGCGGCATTGTGAGCTGAATCTCGCCACCCTCCATCACCTCACGCCGGTTGCCCCCGATCTCAATCGCCAGGTGCCGAAGGGAACCTGAGACAGGACATGCAGCAGTCTTTGGTTTGGGTTTTAGGGTTTAGTGCTATTAGAGCTCAGGAAAGTCGTACATGTGAAGAGTGGTGGGCATACCAGCATGCACATATCAGTGTAGAACCCCGTGTTTTGGAACGGGTATGAACGAAACTCCCATCAGTCTGTGCACAAACGTCAAACAAAGAGCCTGCAGCAGCCGTGTGGGGGGTGGCCCTCAGGTCCCTGTGCAACGCAATGTTACCCGAAGTCTGCCGAGGCGCCCGTGCCCCACTGCTGGATCTCCTGTGCACACAGGGACAAAAGGGTAGGGGGTGGGGGGAAGGGGCAAAGAAAGCCGGTGACTGCTGATGGCCCAAGAGAGCATGTGTAAGGGGAATGGAGCTTCGGGACTTCACACACTGAAGTTCCCGCACGCCACATTCTGAAAGAATCCAAGCCAGGCCCACTTGCCCCTGTGAGGGGATCCCGTTGATACAGGACTCTTTTTGGTGCCTGTAAGGAGCTCGAACTCCAGGCTCTGCCAAAGCCAAGGAACGAACCCTCCCAATCCTTCAACTGTCTTAAACTCTGATAGTACAAGAACCCAACAGCCTCAAAATCCGTCTAGCAAAAACCGTCCCAGAAAACGAAGAGCGCCCAGAAGGAAAATAGCAAGATAAAAAAAACAAAATTAAACCAACCCAAGCCAGCCCTCCCTCCCGGGAGCCCCCAAGCGCGGCCTGGCACGTGGGGAAGGCGTCCATGGCCTCCAGCGGCCACATGGGGGGGTTTACGACTGTTAGGGCCACCTTATTGGGGTCCTTATTTTGGGGGACTATGTAAGGGGTCCCCCATTTTTCGTAAACCCCCACATGCTTCCGGGGTGTTGAGGGCCCAGGGCCCGAAATTCGCAACATCTGAGGCAGGAGGCGTACAGAATCCGCCCGATGCCGCCCGCATGCGCGATGGCCACCGAGTTGGTGTCCTCCGCACGAACCCCAGCAGGCGTGCGGTTGTCACAGGCTGCGTTCTTTGGGCAGATTTCCGGTTCCAGGGGCAGCTTTGAGGTTTCTGCAGCCACTCTCTGCACCGCCGGCTCCACGCTAGTGCACCCAGCCAGGCAACACCCCACCCCTGCATCAAAGGGGAACCTTGTTTAGGGTTTCGGGTTTAGGGTCAGGGTTTAGGGTTTATGGTTGGAGGCTTCAGAGGGTTTGGGAATCAAAGCCTTACTGGCCCGAAAGCCCCAACTGCCGAGTTGGCCTTCTCTGGGTTGTCGGCCCTGAAGCACGACAGGGCATAGAGGCAGCCGCAGCCGTGAGTCTGCCTAAAGCTGAGCCATTCGAACTGTCTATGCAATTAGGGAGGGGATTGCACTACAACCTCTAAAGTGCTTCTTTCGCCTGCACTTGTGCTACAAGTCTGTCCGTTGTGGTTGTGTGTTTAGGAAGTGCCCCTTAGAGCTTCCGGGGAGAGCTTCTGCACCGAGCAGCAGTGCCACGCTGCTCGTGTGGGACGTCATCGCCTTAACGATGTCCTGTCTTGCAGGGTGCTGATGGTGGTGGGCAGCTTGCAGCGGCTTTTTTGTCTCTTGAAGGCAAGCCCCAGCTATTAGGGCTTATTTTGGGTTTAGGGTTTAGGGTTCAGGGTTTAAGGTTTAGGGTTTAGGGCTTAGGGTTTAGGGCTTAGGGCTTAGGGTTTAGGGTTTAGGGTCAGCCTGCCTGGTAGCCCACGGAAACCGCAAATGTCCAAAGGTCTCTCTTCCAGTCCTTGATGCCCTTCAGCTGGGAGACGATCTGCCGCGACCTGAGTTTCTGACTCCCCGGGCGTTTGTTGTCAGGGAATGTGCGGAGTTCAGGATGTTTAGAATCGTGGCCCCTATACCCTGCTACAGTTGTGCATCCGCCGAAACCCTACCAGTTACCACAACCAAACCTCAACTTAACGAAACCTTCCCAGTGTCTGAGGCCCTTCTCCAACTCTACAACCAAACCTTAACTTAACGCAACCCCCCGCCCTCCACCCTCTTCAGCCCGAACTCGCCTCAAACAGCCGAGGCACTCCGCCACGTCGCTCACGAACTCGAAGATGAGGGCCAAGGTCCCGGTGGCCACCTGAGGACCATCAGAATTCGTAGGGCACAGGGCTTCTAGGGCATAGGGCTCGTCGGGTTCATAGAGCTGTATGGTCTTTGGCTGGGCTTAGAGTTTAAGAGTGCAGGGTTTAGAGAGCAGGGCCTAGGGTGTAGAGCTATGGAGGGGGGGGAGTACCTTGGTATCGCTCACACACGCCGCAAACCAGGAGGAGTGGTTTGATCTCATGTGGCTATATCTACAGAGCAGGAGATGTGGAAACCCCCATTTTCAGAAGATCGGGCCGTCGGTGGGTTGTACTACATAGAGCTCAGGAGCATCATGCAAGCTGAGTATCGGACATTTTCACTCGTGGCATGCAAGTGTGCAGAATCAGATCCTATTGCCATTCCTCCATGAAAAGCCTGATTTCGCGGGACACTGCGTCGCTGGAGGAAGAATGCCTCAAGACTTGCATGATCCCAGGCCAGAGTGCCTCGTCGGCCACGTCGACATTGCTGCGTTCGCCACGTACGTGCACGGTTAGTGTGAGCTCCAACAGGAGGTTTACAAAGCCTGCGTGCTCCCGGATGCTCGGGAAATGGGCCAACGCCTCCAGCACAAACTGCCGCAGCGTCGGGAGTTTCAGCTGGTGCATGGCACTATTCAGGCCCACCTCGTCCTCCCCCTCCGCGTCTGCCTTCCTCCCCTCATTCTCCCAAGCCCTGGTCTGATCTTGCCAGCCTTGTCTTCTAGGAGGAGACGCTGGCAAGAAAAGAGGAACAGGAGGAAGACACTCAGATATTCAAATACCCCAGGTTCGGGGGAAGAAACTCGGATATTCGGATACCCCGGGTACTGTACTGGGAAAAGCTTGGCCGGAGGGAGTTTTGTCTGGAGGTGTTCCCGAATATTTAAAAAAATCCGGCAGAGACAATGCCAAGGGGCTCCTTCCTTGGAGACGGATGACGAGGCCGGAGCACAATTCCACAGTTCGCCCACCTCGGCGGTAGAAGGCTGGGAGCTGTAAGCTGTCATGACGGCCATCACCACTCAACGTTATGCTGCAGCCCGTTTCGTGTTGGTGTCCCTCTCCCGCGCACGCCACTTGGGACAGGACGAAGAAGCCGGCAAACTCGGCACCCCAACTCTCGCAGCGGGCAGCAGCTTGGTATATCCAGTCAGGCCTCTTCTTGCTAACCCCCTCAAGCCAGGCGTGGGACTCACAGCAATCGGAAATCAGCACAAACTTCCTGTGCGGATCCGCAGAACGATTGCGCCAGCAATCCCAGAGGCTCGACAAGGAATCCAGTGTCATCTTGCCGTCCGCGAAGGTCCAATCGCCAGACAGGTTTTCTCCGTGCCCTGCGAAAATCAGGACAAGGTCTCCCGCCGACTGCTGAAACAGATCCATGATAGCCGTGTGGGCGGTCTCTAACTCCAAGCCGACGGTGCTGCAGAGGACTCGCACCACGCAGCCCTGCCACCGAAAAAACTTCTCCCACATTGACACGGACGCAACCACTTCGTGTCCTTCGTCTCCTTCGCTGCCCAAGATCAATACGTTGACCACGCGTCCTGGGTCGCGTCTATGGACCAGACTGTCCACATCTGATGGTTGAGCCGGGACCGCCCGAATACTAACCTGATGGGGGCAGGCTACTCTCAAGAAAACTGCACCTAGTACGAGAAGCCTAGGGCCAAGGGCTCAGAAAAAGAAACACTCACGGCTCCCGGAATTTCGAGATCCGCGCCCATGATTGCAGGACCTTACGGCCCCACCTCCTTCACTGGGTAGGCACTCACATCCAAAAGCTGCTCGCAGAGCAGCTCGTACTTCTTCTCTCCCCCCGAACGCAACATGCGCGACCACTTGGCTAGGACCTTCGCCACCAGAAGCACAGCCCGCTCATTCTGAAAGCTCATTAACTTGATCATCCTCTCGTCCTCGTGGATCTCTGCGATGACGTGTGCGATGGGAATCTCCACCTGCAGCTTGCTGCGCGGGACCCCCAAGTGCAAGAAGACCAGATTCGAAATGTACCGATGGATCTGGTCCGCAGGTGCTGGGCGGAAGACGGACCGAGCGGCCTTGCCGTCCTCCTTGCTGCGGCACGGGAAGTTGGCACACCGCGCCGAGGCGTAGACCACCACCTCCTTGGGAACCCGGTGAACCGAAACTGGGCCCCCAATGTAAAAAAAAGCATATACCCCGTTTTTTGCATCTGGCCTCGCAGAAGGCAGCAAAAGCCCCCTGATACGAAGCCTAACCAAAAAAAGGCAGCGGACACAGCCCTAAAATGGGCACTTCTCTGAAGAAGGTCCTGATCCTCTTGTTTTTGTAAGGCGGCCCATTTGATTTAGGGTATCCAAAAGACACCCATATGTTCAAATAGAAAAGAACCTTGTTTTCCAGGCTGCCCTGAAAAAACCCTCTGAAAAATATTCCTGAACAGGATCCTCTTCAGCCCAAGAAGGGAAAAAGTTAAATGTCCAAGGGCCCCTAAACCCTAAACCCTTTTGCAGCAGGCTTGCGTGAGTCCTCGCCTAGATCAGGCTATCGCTCTCCGAGCTGACAGCACTAACTTTTGCATCCAGGTCTGACAGCACGAACTGAAACCCTAAACCCTAAACCCTAAACCCCAAACCCTAAACCCTGAAAACCCGTTTTGCTAGACCCCAAAGGTTTTGGGGGGTGGCCCAAGGCTCGGCTTCTGGGTTGAGGAGACTCCCGAAGTCCTCCAAGCTCAGCACCTGAAAGACATCAGGGCTTAGGGGTTAGGGTTTAGGGTTTAGGGTTTAGGGTTTAGGGTTTAGGGTTTAGGGTTTAGGATAAGAAATCGGGGTTCTTGGGTTTAGGGTTTAGGGTTTAGGGTTTAGGATGGTTGAGGGGTTAGGATTCGGGTGTAGGGCTTAGGCGTTAGGATTCCGATTTGGAGTCTCTACACCCGCTACTTCCGCCTCGTCGTCTCGGAACGTCCAAGAGGGCGTCTCATGCTCGGAAGTAGAGCATGGGCCCAGGTAGAAGAGCGTGAACGAAACTCCCTCCCATTTCAGCGACTCCAGAGCCGATACCGCGACTTCTTTCTCTAGCGTCTCGCTGCTTCGCACGAGGTCGGTCGCCTGAGGCCAGGGGTGGAGGGGATGTAGGACCTTCGGAAACGTGAGGGATGTAAGAACTGCGAGAGTGCGAGGCGCGCGTCTTTCACAAAAACTACTCGGCACCTCGGTGATGCTGCTCAGGAAGTTGTACAGCAAGCAGGTCGCCAGGGCGTTGTCGACGCTGCCGTGAGAGATGACGAGGAATCGTGTGTTGCAGGCATTGCCGCCTCAGCTCAGATTGTCTGTCAACGAAACGCGACAATGTAAGCTGATAGCCGCGAATCCGCAACCACACCCCCGCATCTGAGGCACGAGTATGCGGTCAGAGCACAGTAGAGAGTCTATAACATCCAAAATACTGCAATCCCAAACCTGCAACCTCCAGGCCCAAATAGCCCACAACCTATGCAGCTTTATGACTTATAACATCACAACCCACTGGCGCCGCCTGCGATCGGATCCGACGATGTACTTCCATTGAAACCTGCATCCAGTGTGCTGGGAGTTCCATCGGCCGAGTCCTCTTTCATGGGTATGGTAGCGGGGAGCTTGAGCCCACGGCTCCAAGCTCCTCAGCACGTGCGTGCCTAGGGGGAGCGCAAGGGATGCTGTCCAGGACGTGCGGAAGTTGCAAATGAATAGCCACTTTCCCAAGTCAATCTGCTTCGGCATGTGCCTCAAAAGTGAGTGCTCGTGTATGTGCCTGTATGTGTCCATGCATGTGTAAAAGGATAAATGTTCTGACAAACGCTATGTACCTATGAGCTTCTTGCACACCCTGTTCTGCAGAGCCCGTGGCTGCGCACGAGAAGTGGGAGCTCCGCTGGCATGACGCAAAGGGAAGCTGCCATGATAAGCGAAAGGCAAAATACTTATGTACAACATGATGTTGTCAACATCCATACTATGGAAACCTTTTCTTCTATCACCAGCAGCCCCGCAGCACCCTACTGTAATCTTCCTAATCTTCCTTCGGCTTCAAGGCTCTAGGGGGTCTAAGGTTTCTAGCGCCAGCTTCTCTAAGTGTGAGCTGGGACGGCTTTACCAGGCGTGCCTTTCAACCATGGGAGCAGTTTAAGAATCATTCCAAATCGAATCCTGTTGAATACTGGGCGGGAGGGGAGAGAGCCGCACAAAAAAAGAACAATTCCCTTCCACGAGCATTTTCTGACAAAACAAGGGCGTAAGAAACGCATCAAAGTAGAGGAAGAAGAACAGCGGCTGCCTAAAAACAGAAGCCATCAAGCCCCGCGAAAAAAGAGGAAGGCCCAGCCACCTCAAGGTTGGGCAGCATCAGGTGGAGGATCTTGAGGACCTCCACACTTCCGATTTGGGAAGGAGCGGAGGGGGGGACAGAGGGTGGACCGTCTGCCCACAATTGACCTCAACATCCCCAAGCTGGAAACCCCAACTCCCCAACTCGGCTCCTGGTTCGCTGCTTTTGGGTGGTCATTCTCTGGTGTTCTCTGGTGCTAACTCCATGCTTGTATTGAAGCTCTGCACCCCACGCCAAAGCAACAACATTCCATGCCTCACGTATTTCCTGAAACCTCAGGCAAATCCCGGAAAGTAACAAACCCCTTAAACCCCTGAACCTCTTAGCCCCCTCCCCAAATAAAATTTAAAAAAAGTCGAAGGAGAGAACAGAGACCAGCTGCTGTCGGGAGCTGCTTCACGTCTTCCTTCTTCACGGATGAGAGGTACTCCTGCCCACTGCGGGTACCCATGAGAAGCTGCATCCACCAGGCGCCCACGTTTCAATATCCGGACCGGCTAGAACGAGAGATTCGCAAGAAAGGCCCTGTCAACATGAAGACTGGATTTGCTGGTCATCCCACGTCCTGCACCCTGCCGACCCCCTGCTGCATTTTCGGATCCACGGGCATCCTCAAGCAGTGAGGTCAAAGCAAAGGTTGAGGCAGCCAGGGCTTCAGTTGCCCCGTGGAAAAACATGCCCGAGGCAGGATCGCGGATGGAAAAATATCCAAGCAACCCAGACAAAACACACCGCACTGTAGCAGGTACCAGTTCCAAACTGAGACTTGGGCTCCTCCCTTGACCCAAAAGAACCTGAACGGCCCAAACACAACTCGGCCACGCAACAACTGGAGTTAACTGGAGGCAAGCCATCGAGACTTCAGGGAAAAGCATGAGGGCAGCGTGACATTTGATTGTGGATATCCAGTACACACTTGAAGGGCGACGGACGAAAGCAGCAGCTTAGTGCTTCCCACCACGGCGACCAGCACTCTACGACGACCCACAAGCACAACTACTATAGCCACCCCAATTACATCCACTACGGCGACGAGCACAACCACAAGCACCTCAAATACGATGTCCTGCAAATCACATCACTCACACACTCCTCCTCCTCCTCCTCCTCCTCCTCCTCCTCCTCCTCCTCCTCCTCCTCCTCCTCCTCCTCCTCCTCCTACTCCTCCTACTCCATCTCCTCTCCTCCTCCTCCACCACTCGCCTATCCTCCTCCTCCTCCTCCTCCTCCTCCTCCTCCTCCTCCTCCTCCTCCTCCTCCTGCTCCTCCTCCTCCTCCTCCGACGACGACGACGACGAGGAGGAGGACGAGGAGGAGGAGGAGGAGGATGACAAGAACGACGACGAGGGCGACGACGACGACGACGACGAAAACCACGACTACGACGACGACGAAGACGACGACGACACCACTGCGACGAATCGACAGTTCTGCCGGCCACCAAGAACCTCAAAATTCCAAAAATTGTTGATCTTAAGCCCCGGCCGAGCATCTGATCAGCCGCTGGGGCGCTGCGGTGTGGCGAAACCGCTCCCTGACACCACAGCTGCCAAGAGCGAGGCTACTCTAGGGGCCTCAAGAATTAGAATAGGGCTTTGGGGGTTCTTATAGCAAGTTGATAAAGGGACCATAAGGGAATACTATTAGCAATTATTCCGACCCCTATATTCGGGTTTCAGGCTTCTTGGCTTTTCAGCGTGCTTCATCCACGCTCATGCCGACAAACAGCTCAATGTCCAGTTTCACATGGCCCAGAGCAACACAGCTTTTACGCCTCTCTCTGCAGAAACACAAACCTACACAAGCTCGCTGCAAGTCGCGCGCAGCCCTTCCCACGTAGCATAGCAGAATCTAACTCATGATATCTCACAGGATGATGCATCGGTTGGGGGTTTAGGTTTCAGGGTTTGAGTTAGAGGCGCAGCCGTTGGACTTGGGACTTGAGCCACGAGCCCCCGAAGAAATCCGAAGCTCAGTCCATCTCTGGCTCACCATGCACCCGCAAGTGTCCAGCCCTGAACTCTAAACGCCCCAAAACCTGTAAACCCTAAATACCCTGAACCTTAAAACCCAAGTGCCCGAAACCACTGCAAACATTAAACCCTGAACCTTATAGATCCCCTAAAACAAACCTAAACTAAACCCAAAACCCAATCACAGGGCCTCGCTGTTCCCTTTGAGGATGCCGCCCCCTGGCTTGAGGCGATGGTGCTGCGGCTCATGCCGGCCCTCCTGACTTCGCTGTCGCTTGGCTGGACTGCGGGCTGAGGGTTGAGGGGTTGTTTTGCTACCCGCCTAGCTGAGGGTCTGGGGTTTAGGGTGTCACCCCTCAACCCTAAACCCGAGACGCCTTAGGGGTTTAGCGGCAGAAGTTTCTCTCACAGTGGGGGGGCCAAGGCTCCAGTTTTCAGAGTGCTGGGATGTGTTTCTTTGGTCAGGAGCTGCCCTACACCCCAACAACCCTTTCTTAGGGTTGAAGCCTTTCTTACCCGCCAAGCAGACCAGCCGCACTGCAGGGCAACTTTTCCCGACTAACGACGATGCCTGAAACACTGTGCCTTGAAGCAGGCGGCGAAATAGGCATTCTAACAACCCCACACCCTCAAACCCTCAACCCTTACTGCAACACACCCCGGCCTCTGCACCTGCCTCGTGCTCCTCCTGGAGCAGCGCAGTGCCTCGTTGTCGGGTTAGAAAAGAAGGAGCAGGGGGCTTTTGAGATGTGCTGCCACACGGCGCATTCGACAAACCCAGCATCCAAGGGCCTCTTATGACTATGGAGCGAATTACAAAGCTCATAGAGACGTGGGAGTCACTACACAACAAAACCATCCTTGGCAAGGCGCGCATCTCCTGCTCCTTCCAGCCCATGGGATCCCGCAGCGTCTTCAGGAAGCGGGTGACGCCCGTGGGGCTCGTGTCGTCCTCCACCTCCTCGTCACGGAACCGGAAGCGCTTCTCCGACATGGGGCTGGTGCTCTTCACCGTCCTCATCTCCTCGACCTCCTCGTCGCTGTCCTTTTGCGCGGGCGCCCGCGCGCGGTCCGCGCGCTGCTGGCGCTTCTGGGCGCGCGACGCCTGCGTTTCCAGCAGCTCCGACAGGGCCGGGGGCATGTGGACGCCTGTCAGCTGGTAGGAGTCCTGGATGGCCTCTTGAAGGGCTACCACGAGGCTGTCCTTCACCCGCATGTGGGTGCGGCGATGGTAGACCACGGGCGCGCGCTTCAGGAAGCTGAACTCTTGCTTCCACACATCGTACCTTAATCTGGAGGGTGGGCACAGGCAGCTCACGTGACAGACATGATCACACATCACATGGCGGGATTTTGAGCCAGGAGCACATGTCAGCTTGTGCACCCTATTCTCAGCATCTCGGACATCTTAGCCATCAATCCGAAGAGCACCTCTCCCCAACTCAACTCGAAACCACTGGCCTTCTTGCACCCCAAAAGCGCCCAGCACCGCAAATCCGCTTGAGAACTCTTCAGAAACATGCCTTCCAAGTGGCTCTTCGGGAGCCAGCCGATCGCCGTCGTAGAATGGAACCTGGGCTCTCTCCCCTTCCCCTTTATGCTAAACCTCGCTACCCAAACTCTCAGGATAGCTGAGATGAACTGTGCCCTTTTTGCAGCGAGGGTCGTATGAACTGCACCCTACATCCTAAACCCTTAACCCTCGAGCTGGTGTGTTCCCGCCCTAAACCCCAAACCCTAAACCCAAACCCTATACCCTATACCCTATACATAGAAACCATAAAACCTCAAACAGTGCACCTGCTACGTACTCGTGGGAAGTTAGTCTTAGTTCCTCTGCCACCAGGGAACCACCGGCACGGCAGCCTTGTCCGCCCAAAGCAGCTCCTGGCGCTGGGTCTTGAGGGCTCAGGGTTTGTTGTGCCAGTCTTGTGAAGATGGATGATGATGTAGCCATGGCGGCCAAGACTTGATGCAATTGGTTGGCACAGGTCCCCTCCATGAAGGTTGAAGGGCAAGGCTATGGATGCCTGCCACTGCACGAACTTTGGTGACAACATGTCATCCAACTACAGCCGGTCCAAGATAGGCCCAGCATGAACCTCCCCTTTAGGCCAAACTTTAGGGCCAGAACCAAAGTTCTTCGAGTGTGTCCCAAGATCCTGACCTTCCCTTCAGCAAGAAACTCGTGCAATCATGGCCCCCGGAATCCTGGTGCATGCCATTCGGGTCCAGAAGGCCCTCCTGTCATGGGTTGGCAGCATAGGCACATCTCGATCCCCCATACAACCCTGTCACTCAGCTGCCAAAGGAGCTTCCGCCCAGAACTCTTCAACCAACCCCTTCACTGCAAGTCCGAGAACGGACCCCACATACAGTGGTATGTGCCTTGAAGTCTAGCTGCAGCATTGCCCCAAAAGAATCCAGCTCGGCAGCGTGGCCTTGCTGAGCACCCCGACCACCACCCGCGCAGCGGCGATGTCGGATTTCAATCTGCGCCTGGGCCCAAAGGTGCTTTGGGCTCTTTGGGTCGAACTTCAGCAGTGATTCGACCACAAACCTTACCCTACACCCTATGACCCTCACTGAGCACCCAAACCCCGTAAACCTGGATTTCGCGAAGCTTGAGGGACTATCATCCTGAGCCCGGATGCTCGTCGAGCAGGCGCGAGAGGTTTGTGGTATCCAGGCGCACGGACAGCTGCAGCGAGTCGCAGACTTCCTAAGCTGCCGAAGCTTCAATCTGTATGCAGAGGGCTCCTAGTTGAACCCCGGCCCTTAAACTTAACACTGCAGGTCAGGGACCAAGTAAGTCATCAGGTCAGACTGGGAAACCACAGAGGAACACTTCTGGCCAATGGTGCTGTGAAAAACCCCTACTACTGGCTAGAGTAGGCCATAGCAAACAAAGAGGCGCGCATGATAGAAAACCATGTCTCTCAAGTCTTCCACCAGCAAAACGTCTCGAACGCGGCCCCTCCACAAGCTATAATCATGCGGCAAATACAGTACGCCTTCCCCTGAATGATAACCCCCCCAGCCCCGAATTTCACATCCTACCCCCTCCCCCTGCCCCCATGTTCTTTTGGGGCGGGAAAAAGGGGGGTAGGCCTCGTGGATAGGATTTGGGGGCAACCCAAACTGGGCTCTCGACACTATTTAACCTCCCATTCTCTGCTTTGTCAAAGCCGAGAAAGGGAGGTTTGTGAGCCAAGGAGGAATGCCCCGGTTTCTTAAACCTGCGCAGAAGGTCTTCCAGGATGACGCGCGTTTCGGCAGGCAACAAGGTCCCTACATCCCAGTTGCGTAGATCAACAAAGTGGTCCAGCTGCCAAGCGTACCTCGCCGTGGTGTGCTGCCGCTTCGGTAGTCTCCAAGGTGGGTGCAGTGGCAAGCAACAAGGCCGTTGCCCTAAATACCCCAGTCTTGCCAGAAGGTCAGCTGGAAAGGCAAAAAGCCCAGAAAGTCGGCCGTCATCCAGGAGCGACACTAAGAGAAGATCAAAGTCAGCTTCTGAATACGCAAGTCTACCAAACGCTCCTCTGCATTTTGAAAGGTTTGCTGTGTAGGCCTGTGCCCGTTGAAGAGTTGACGCCTTTTCCTGAACGCGCCACCGGGATCCGTTACCAAGGAGCACGGAGTCCACCGCTGCAAGGTCCCCAAAGGATTTCTCAAGCTGACAGCCGACGCAATGAAACAACGTCCTCAACAGAACGTGGGCAGCCTCCTCAACCTGGTGGGTGGGACTGCACTGCAAACGAGCATCTGCAAGCGAGATATGAGGAAACTCCGTCTGGTTTCGAAAGCAGTTCTCCAACAACGAGCCGACGTCTTCTACCTGGTGTGCCCTGTCCCTGCTTGAACTTGGTCTTATGGAGAACTTCGACTGTGTCACAGACGCTCCTGGCAAGGCCCATAACACATCGCTGTCAAGCGCGAACAGCATCAGCAACATTCCGGCGTATCCACTCGTCCTAGAAAACGCATACCCTTGCTTGTTCATGCTGGACGATTTCAATTGCAAGGCAAGCCCGCCAGCGAGAGAGCCTCGGATTTGGAAGAGCGCATCTACTTTGGAGGACCCTGATACCCGAACAATGTCATAGCTCTCTGCCTGTGGCGACGACAGGAAAAGTCGGTGTAATCGAGCAAAGGATTCCTCCTCCTTCTTGAATTTGGAAACCGTTGCCAGGGCACGGCCCTGCGACTTCTTCTGGCTTTCTGCAAAACTTGTTTCCGAGGGCGTAGGAAAGTTCAATGAGCGTCTTAAGCGAACTCCATCAGCACACAAAGCTCGAAGACGAGCATCGTATGCGTGTGCCGCCTCCTGCTCATTGAAAAAATAGCCCACGTGTTCTCGGTGCCTATTGAAGCTGACTCGCACGTGAAACTTCTTTTTGGCCTTGCTCCAGTAGACTCCATTGTATTGGCTCGACGCGAAGTGCCGCCACCATTGCCTGGCAAGCAGCACAGTGTGCTGCTCAAGCCGTCGGACATCAAGCCCCAGCATCCGTTGATGGAGGCAAAAGCTGTCTGCTCACACAGGTGGTGGCTACCAACAACCGATTAACATAGGATTTCTGAACATGCACGTCTACTTAGCGCCTCCGGGGATGCGCAGGCTTACTGCACAGCCATGTGCTGGAAGAGTTGAGGCCTTTCTCCTCAAAATCGCCATCGGTCCACAGTTGCTAAACCCGTAACGATAGAGTCTAGAGTTTACAGGCGTCTATGTTTGCGTGTGTGTTGGGGCTTCTTTGTTGCGCTAAGATGCGTATGTGTGTATGCTGGGAGTATTTTTCTTCATGCACGTTTCACAAGGCGTAGACCCTACACCCCCAACCTTAAGACCCCTGAAGCCTCTAACCCCTTAACCCTACGGACCCGAAACACGAGGAGACATGTCAGGGCCTCAACCCGAAATGCTGCGTGCATCTGAGCCTCCGAGATCCATGAAGCGAAGTGGAGAGAGAAGTCTTGGGACCTGGGGGCGATGGGCTCGAAACCGCCCTTGTTCTTTTCTGAGGCTTAGGATGCTGGGCCTCGGGTTTCAGATTCTGGTTGGGGGCTTATAAACCCGAAGCCCTAAAGAGGGCTCCGGGGCTTCAAGTCTAGAGTTGTAGGTTCAGGGTTTGGGGTTGCAGGGCTTGACTGGGCTGGCTCAGCACCTGAGAAGACCACCTCACACCAGAAGCCCTAAGTCTCAAGAAGACGAAAGCACGCGCCCGGAGCTTGCATCTAAACATCCCGATGACCTTAACCTCAACGGCTTCCTGCCGCGCTGCGGATTCTTTGCGTCCTCGTCTTCAAAGCCGTGATGGTAGGAAACGAAGACCTCGCCAGCGCGCTGACTTGACTTGACAGGTTGAAGCTCCAACCCATGCCAAGATCTTCTCTAGCTTAAATAAACTCTGAGAGAGAGAGAGAGAGAAAAAATAAAATGAAATAAAATGAACGCACTCCGCAAGGAAATGAGAAAACGCTGCCCCTCTGCTTAAACCCTAAACCCTTTCTAGCCACGGACTGGCAATCGGGACCCCCCGCAAACCCAAACCCTAAACCCTCAACCCTAAACCCTCAACCCTTTTGCAACAGGCTTGCCACTTCGCCCGGAGTTGGTGCTCCCTCAACCCTCAACCCTAAACCCAAAACCACAGCAAGTCATGGTCCAAGCGGCGTCGTGGCGCTTGGCCTCTCTGGGGACAACCTGGAAGCAGCTCCGGGCCGACCGGGCTCAGACATGGGTATTTCCCAAACTTAGGGGCGGAACCTCCTCAACCCCTAAACCCCCTAAACCCGTTAAACCCTGAATACCCGAGCTCCAAACAAGGTTCACCTTTTATTTGGAATAGGATTATGTACATATACCCAAAAGAGAAAAAGGTTCACTACCCAGCCCCGAAGCAACACTAGGGGCTCCAGTTTTGGGTGGCCTTTGAAAGGGGAGGATACCAAGTTTGGGGGGTAATAAGTGCATTGTGCCGCATTCGGGGTTCTTTCTGGGGGGGTTGCCCTCGAAATTTGGGGTATACAAGGGACGCCCCTACTGCGGGACTTCCTATCTTGGTACCTCTGTGGTTTCATTGCCCTCGAGCTCGCCAGGAGTCTGCTGACACTAAGGCCCAGCTCCGGCACTATCGCCCAGGTTTTTCCCACGTCCTTGTTTGCATCCGGGCCCCGGCTGATGGATGGAGCCAGAATCCAGCAGCGCTAAACCCTTAACCTGCAACCCGAAGTGGGTGGGTTCAGCCGCAGTCGGAGAAACCCTCATCCGCCTAGGGTTTAGGGTTTAGGGTTTACGGTTTACGGGTTTAGGGTTAATGGCTTAATCGCTCACTCGGACGCCAGGGCGAGGCAGATACTCGTTTAGGGTTTAGGGTTTAAGGTTTGGGGTTTGGGGTTTCGGCCGTGCAGGGCCCAGGGTCCAGGGTCAGCAGCCTAGGGATGCCCGTTTCAGCCAAGGCACCACTTTGTCGTGCCCCTGGCTAGCCTGAGATGAAGACCCAGCATCCGCAAAAGCCCGAATCCGCAGCCCCAACCGTGATCCCAAACAAGTCTAGAAACAACTAGCCCACTCTCGAGACCTCCTCCTTGGAGAAGACTGCACTAATTAGCCCACTCAACAAGGCAAAAAATCACTCCGGACCACGAAAGTCTGAACCCACAGAGCCCCCTGCCTGGGACTTTAGGGGTGCAGGAAGGACTGGATCCTTGCGTTTGGTGCTGCCACATGCTTTTGCCCCGGTCCCCCTTACTACTACCTACTGAGAACGAAGTAAGTTCAGGTGCACTTTCGGGTACATCCTGTGTCCTCTAAAAGTTGGAATATAAGCCCCCCCAACTACTGCAACCCGACCCTGCCACCCCTCCCATGTCAGCGAAGAGACGCAGCCGCCCATTCCCAAGCATACGCCGGGAAGGGGGTGCCGGCAACATGGCCATGACCGGGTTTTCACGTGTGTGTCTGGCCCTCCGCTGGGGGCTTGAAGCTTATGATAAGGCTTAGGGGTCGGGCCTCGGGGTGGCTAGGGCTGAGAGAAACGTGGAATGTGGCTTCGGCTTGTTCAAGTTACCAAGTTGCCTCAAGATGCCCGAGATGATGCTGCGCAGAGGGCTTGGAGTGTAGAAACTTGGAGGAGGGGATTGTAGGGATGGGGGTTGGGGGGGGGGAGGGGCTTGGTCCCTCTCATGGCTGCCGCGAAATTTTTGGCACAGAAGAA